GAGACAGAGAAACATTCCACCTGCCTTTGACACACCTTTAGCTAAACCTCTGGAACAACAGACAGAATTCCAATTGATTTACCACGAGCTTGTGAGAAGACATAGTGGAATAAAGTAACGGGTTACAGACAATTACACCACAGTTCTTCTTCAGGGTTATTTTCTTTCTGTTTTTCACAGCCACTTCGTGTAATTTTCTAAAATCCTAAGTCGTGTAAGCTGATTTTCTGTAATTATAGATTTAATGTAGTAATATTCTTCTCTTTCCACCATGAAAGAGAATAATACTTCTGAATTATAGTAATGCCATTCTTATCTTTAAAAAGATCTGTCTTGGACACAGACCATGTATCCTTTTATACACTATATGGACAAAAGTATTGAGACATCTACACATTACACCTACAGGGGCATTTATGACATCCTATTCTAAATCCATAGGTAGTAATATGAAATAAGTTACCCCTTTCCAGCTTCCACTCTTCTGGGAAGGCTTTCTACAAAATTTTGGAGTGTGTCTGTGGGACTTTTTGCTCATTCATCCAGAAGAGCACTGGTGAGGTCAGACACTGATGTTGGACGAGAGGGCCCGGCCTGCAATCTCTGTTCTAGTTCATCCCAAAGGAGTTCAATGGGGTTGAGGTCAGTGCTCTGTGCAGGCCAGTCAAGTTCTTCCACACTAAACTCACCCAGCCATGCCTTAATGGACCTTGCTTTGTGCACTGGTGCACAGTCATGCTGGAACAGATAAGGGCCTTCCCGAAACTGTTCACACAAAGTTGGAAGCATACAATTGTCCAAAATCTCTTGGTATGCTGAAGCATTAAGGTTTCTTTAGGTTTGGAACCCTGCAGTTATTGAGTCAGCAGAACATTGGTGACTTTTATGCACTATGCAACTCAGCACTCGGCGACTCCACTCTGTTACTTTATGTGGTCTACCACTTCGTGGCTGAGTTGCTGTGGTTCCTAAGCACTTCCACATTTTTAATAACACCACTCACAGTTGATTAAGTGAGCTCTTTAGAATGACCCATTCTTTCACAAAAACACCTGTGGCAATAGAAGTGAATGAAACACCTGAATTCAATGATTAAGAGGTTGTCTCAATACCTTTGTCCTTGCAGTGTATTTGGCACTGACTTTCATGTAAAAATATTTGTGTGCCAGTGGGGAAGAGATATTTATCAGGTGTTTTGTATGTGTGTGCGAGTTAGGGAGCGGTTCATGTTGTTGTAGACACACCCTCACAAAACCAGTGTAGCCACAAAGATTTATATGAGATGGCAGTCATGTTTATGTTTGTGAGTGTGAAATAAGAGAGATAATAATTTGGCTGGCTGATAAAGGTGCTCATCAAACATTTCAATACACTTTGCCTTTTATCAAAATGTAAATGATCTCACTGTTATATTTTAAATGAAAATGATAATAATCCTTTTATTTAACATTAAGCAGCTACCTGCTAATTATTCAATGTGTTCTTAGTGTGAAGAGCAGGATTTTGACAAAATAACGATTTGACAAGTTTCTTTTCCAAACTATTGTTGATAAAAGCACACAATGAAACATTTTTGGCCCAAAGGCGTTAAAACACCTGAAACGTTTGATGATGAGTGCTGATGGGATGTTTCAGCCCTTAAACAGTATAATACACTATATAATGAGAGTATAAACACTTAGAAAATCATAATAATATATAATATATAAAAAATATAAAATTATCTTAGCAGATCATTTTGTTTGGTTTAAGAAATACTGGTTGAAGGAAGTAAACAGAAAGCCAGTGGTATAGGACAGTTTCACTAGGTATCAGTAAATATAAAGAAATTAAAGAAGCTATAAACAATCAATAAATAGGTTTAGTAATCTTAATGAAATTACATAATAACATAATAACAAATCATCACAAAAAATGGATTACATTTAAGATAATTTTACTTTTCAAGTTCCAAGTTGAACTGTGTGTAGCATAGCATTTACTTAAGAAACAAAATTTATTCTCTTTATTCTTGTCACTTAGAGCCCCCACATGTTCTGAATGCAAATGTCACAACAAATGGACAACACGTGTGGCCTTTGTCTTTATTCCCAAAGCAGCACTGTCACTAATATATATAATAATATACATTTTGTGTATCCACTGTCAAATTTATTTGTTGTTTTAAAAAAAATCCAAGAACCTGGCTGCAATAACATTTTACGTTGATTAAATAATAATAGAGAGTATAATAGGGAGTTAACAGAACAATATGTGTCTTACATTCTGTTAGCTTATTATTTGAAATATAACAATGCAGTCAGGTTACTTATCTTTTGAAGATAATGCTGCAAAATAATTTTATATATTATTACAGATGAAGCTTTATGAAAAGGCTAATTTCAATACCAAAATGACTATGACTGATTATATAAATATTGTTAAATCATGCATGCACTTTAGTATGATTATCAAAAATTTTTACATTTGTTTAGTAGTTTAGTTGTTTATTACCAAGTACTTTACTGATTTCTGGGCTCTTCCAATTTCTGTGAGGTAGCAAAGTTCATAGCAAAACAAGTTTCAGTCTTGCGGAACATGTTTGGGTGGAACAAAAGCTTCTACTCCCATCACGTCAGCAGACTCAATTAGAACACGCTGTAATTAGATCTATTTTAAAGCTCCTTATACAGACCTTAAACATCACACATTTGTGTCACTGCAAATATATCTCTTGTTCCTTTTAGTTAATCCTATCTACTATCCGCTTAAGTGCAATACATCTAGAGACAATTAGGGTTAGGTATTAATTTTCATCCATTTCTAACCAGATTCAGTGAACCCTGGGGGGAAAACATACATTTTAGTTTTCGAAAACACTGTTGATTGTTTTCATAGAGAAAAAGGCTTAGACCCAGAGTCCCTACTATGGACACGACAGCAGCTACAGAATGAACACATGATTTCAGACATCTATTGTAAACATAAACTGATTTAGTATTATTACAACTAAATGCTATGACACAAAAAGAAAATATAACTTTAAACAACTATCTTGAGAGAATTATAAAATAAGACAACATCTAATGTACTGTTTTGTGCTTAAACAAAAACTAACAAATCTCTTAATACAGTATAATTCCTCAGTATAATCCCTTAAGTGGTGCAATATTTAAAGATAATGAAGCCGAAGGTGGGGAAACAGTAAGGACTCATGCCTATCTTATATTTCAACACCTTTTAGCTCTTCAAGGTTTATTTACCACTAGTGATATGCATATAACGATAACTTAACTGAAATATTTACAGGTAAAATCGAAGGAAATTATGTTAACCACATAATAAAAATAATAATAATCATCATAACAACAACAACAACTTAAACAATAACAATAATAAAAATAATAATAATAGTAAATATTATACTATTATTGTTGCTGTTGTGATAAGTCCATATCCTAAATTTATGATAATGCATGATAAAGAAAACTGTCACAAAATCTGTTCTTATTGATCGAAAGTGACTTTGGATGAACATCTTGCATGAACAATACTCATCTGATTGGTTTTATTGCAGATAATTTAATACCTTTATTTACAGTCAAATTAGGATTTTCTGTTGTTTTGTAAAAAATAATTAGTTGCATGTGAAACACAAAGTATTTAGTGTAAAAATTCTTATGTTTCTAAGAAAAATAAAGCAATAAAAATTCCATTTGTAACAGCACAACCGATTAAGCATTATTATCATATGCTAGTGAAATGTGGAAATCACAGAGAAAACCTAAATCACTGTCACTAAACAATGATTTGTAAACCAGATTTAATCTTAGATCATGGTGTTCCCTGATAATTGTGAAGGGACAGAGTGTTTCTGATTGGTGTTCACTTGTGACACTTGGTTTTCAGTCAGTAATAATAGCATGTTTGGAATTCACTCAGTAATAATCATCAGTGTAAGGATGTACACCCAAAGGACAGATTTGCGCATGTAAGAGGGAGAGGCCAGCACAGTTACATTCCTTTACGTCAGTCTGTCTGTTTGATAAATAACCGTTCCACAGTGACCTTGCACATATAGCAGAATCCCAGAGAGATACAGTGACCTTATCAGCACCTCAGATTGGATGGTTATGATTTTGAAGAATAAAACAAGGTATTTGAGTATTTCCTACTTTTTGGCTATATTAGTGTCTATTTAATTATTTAATTTTCATGTTTAGAATCAGTTGTTTAGCCTTTCCCTGTTTTGTGCATAATGTAGCTTCTTTTACTGTTTATTTGTAATCACTTGCTTACATGTAGGACATTTAAACCACATCTTAAATTGACAGACCAAGTGAATGGTGTGTGTGAATTTACATATTTGAATGGAAACTGTATTTAAAATGAGACTGAGAGTGAAAAGAAACTGAAGACAATTCTAAAATATTCAGAAGTTGAGTATTCGCTTGCATCTTTCATTAAGCCCAGGAGGACACATATAAATATTCCACACGCTTCACTTCAAATTTCAAAACCAAATATTGTCATTTAGCAGTTACTGAATGACCAGAAATTTCAGTGTTAGACAAAAATTGCCTCAACAAAACATAACCAATAAAAATGTCAGTCAACATATTTTCTGTTCATTGAAAAAGTTTGACAAAAGCAATAAAACTAATAAAAATTGATCCATAGGTTTCCTTTCCGCAAATATGACGGCAGCAGAAAAAACATTTTCCTCACCATACGTAAGTAAAACTGATATGCCTGCCTATAATAAATATGTCATCAAGATTGAATTTTGTTTAGCACAAAGAAATAAATTACACATCGTTGTCTTCATTCAGTTTACATAGATAGACAGATAGATAGAAAGATAGATATGCAAAACAATGAAAGCATTACTTTCTTTCTTAAAGAACAATTGATTCAGTATATCACTTTGCTCCACTTCTTAGCTGCCCCTGATTTGAGCACTATTATGTAATTATGAAAAAAATATTTTTCTTTTCTAACAGTCTGTATGTGGTGTATACTTACGGGGACAGACGCCCAAGCGTGAGTAGATATTTTAAATTTCTAAAATCTTTGGTTGAATGCAGTTGAATCAATGTGACCAATTCAGTTATTCTTAATTAATGATAGAAATGCATATTGAGCAATGAAAAAAGTGTCACAATAATAATCTTTGTATTTACTGACATTAAATATTCTCACTACTAGTATATCCACAACGGAGCCTAATACAACTACAGAACAGACAACCTCTGAGACAATTGCTTCACAAACAACAATGGCTCTAGCAACAACAACAGTTAACATTGAAGTGTCCACAACCAATGAAACTCCAACAACAACAATTATAACAACAGATTTGCCTACAAATACAGCATCCACAACTGAATCTACCACAAGCACAGAACAAACAACTGCGGAAACAAGTTCTTCACCTACATCAACGATTCTAGACACTACTACTGAGGTACCCACAAGTACAACACTAACAATTATTACGACGGAAGTACCTACAACAACCAGTGAAGCACCAACAACTACAAACATGACAACAGATTTAACTATAACAACTACATCCACAACTGAATCTACTACAAGCACAGCACCAGCAACTGCTGAAAAAACAACAGCCCCAGCCGTGACTAATGAGGTACCCACAACTACAACACTCACAGATATTCCCACGACTAGTGTATCCATAGTGGAAACTATGACAATCACTACACAGACAATTGCTGAGACAACTGCTCTAACAACGACAACAGTTAACACTGAAGTGTCCACAACCAATGAAACTCCAACAGCAACAATTATAACAACAGATTTGCCTACAAATACAGCATCCACAACTGAATCTACTACAAGTACAGCACCAACAACTGCGGAAACAACTGTTTCCCCTGGAACAATGACTCTAGACACTACTTCTGAGGTACCCACAAGTACAACACTAACAATTATTACTACTGAAATACCTACAACAATCAATGAAGCACGAACAACTACAAACATAACAACAGATTTAAGTACAACTACTACATCCACAACTAAATCTACGACAAGCACAGAGCCAGCAACTACTGAAATAACAACGGCTCCAGCCGTGACTACTGAGGTACCCACGACTACGACACTCACAGATATTCCCACGACAAGTGTATCCACAGTGGAAACGACTACAATCACCACACAGACAAATGCTGAGACAACTGCTCTAACAACGACAACAGTTAACACTGAAGTGTCCACAACCAATGAAACTCCAACAACAACAATTATGACAACAGATTTGCCTACAAATACTACATCCACAACTGAATTTACTACAAGTACAGCACCAACAACTATGGAAACAACTGCTTCACCTACAACAACTCTAGACACTACTTCAGAGGTACCCACAAGAACAACAATAACAATTATTACTACTGAAATACCTACAACAACCAATGAAGCACCAACAACTACAAACATAACAACAGATTTAACTACAACTACTACATCCACAACTGAACCTACTACAAGCACAGCACCAGAAACTGCTGAAATAACAACGGCTCCAGCCGTGACTACTGAGGTACCCACAACTACAACACTCACAGATATTCCCACGACTAGTGTATCCACAGTGGAAATGACTACAATCACTACACAGACAATTGCTGAGACAACTGCTCTAGCAACGACAACAGTTAACACTGAAGTGTCCACAACCAATGAAACTCCAACAACAACAATTATAACAACAGATTTGCCTACAATTGCTACATCCACAACTGAATCTACTACAAGCACAGCACCAGCAACTGCTGAAAAAACAACGGCTCCAGCTGTGACTACTGAGGTACCCACAACTACAACACTCACAGATATTCCCACGACTAGTGTATCCACAGTGGAAATGACTACAATCACTACACAGACAACTGCTGAGACGACTGCTCTAGCAACGACAACAGTTAATACTGAAGTGTCCACAACCAATGAAACTCCAACAACAACAATTATAACAACAGATTTGCCTACAAATACAGCATCCACAGCTGAATTTACTACAAGTACAGCACCAACAACTGCGGAAACAACTGCTTCACCAACAAAAACGACTCTAGAAACTACTACTGAGGTACCCTCAAGTACAACACTAACAACAGATATTCCCACTACCAGCGTGTCCACGGTGGAGCCTAGTATAACCACACAACAGATAACTGCCCAGAAAACTGCTCTAGAAATTACTACTGAAGCACTCACAACATCCAAAGAAGCACCAACAACTACAATAATAACAACAGATTTAACTACAACTACTGCATCCACAATCGAACCTACTACAAGTACAGCACCAGCAACTGCCGAAATAACAACAACTCCAGCCATGACCACTGAGGTGCCCACAACTGTAACATTAACATCAGATATTCTCACAACTAGTGTATCCACAGTGGAGTCTACTACAATCACAACACAGACAACTGTGGAGACAACTTCTCTAGACACAACAATATTTACTACTGATGTACCCACAACAAGCAATGAAGCATCAACAACTACAAACATAACAACAGATTTAACTACAACTACTACATCCACAACCAAATCTGCTACAAGCACAGTGCCAGCAACTGCTGAAATAACAACGGCTCCAGCCGTGACTACTGAGGTACCCACAACTGCAACACTCACAGATATTCCCACGACTAGTGTATCCACGGTGGAAACGACTACAATTACCACACAGACAATTGCTGAGACAACTGCTCTAACAATGACAACAGTTAACACTGAAGTGTCCACAACCAATGAAACTCCAACAACAACAATTATAACAACAGATTTGCCTACAAATACTGCATCCGCAACTGAATTTACTACAAGTATAGCACCAACAACTATGGAAACAACTGCTTCACCTACAACAACTCTAGACACTACTTCAGAGGTACCCACAAGAACAACAATAACAATTATTACTACTGAAATACCTACAACAATCAATGAAGCACCAACAACTACAAACATAACAACAGATTTGCCTACAATTGCTACATCCACAACTGAATCTACTACAAGCACAGCACCAACAACTATGGAAACAACTGCTTCACCTACAACAACTCTAGACACTACTTCAGAGGTACCCACAAGAACAACAATAACAATTATTACTACTGAAATACCTACAACAATCAATGAAGCACCAACAACTACAAACATAACAACAGATTTAACTACAACTACTACATCCACAACTGGACCTACTACAAGCACAGCACCAGCAACTGCTGAAATAACAACGGCTCCAGCCGTGACCACTGAGGTACCCACAACTACAACACTCACAGATATTCCCACGACTAGTGTATCCACAGTGGAAATGACTACAATCACTACACAGACAATTGCTGAGACAACTGCTCTAGCAACGACAACAGTTAACACTGAAGTGTCCACAACCAATGAAACTCCAACAACAACAATTATAACAACAGATTTGCCTACAATTGCTACATCCACAACTGAATCTACTACAAGCACAGCACCAGCAACTGCTGAGAAAACAACGGCTCCAGCCATGACTACTGAGGTACCCACAACTACAACACTCACAGATATTCCCACGACTAGTGTATCCACAGTGGAAATGACTACAATCACTACACAGACAATTGCTGAGACAACTGCTCTAGCAACGACAACAGTTAACACTGAAGTGTCCACAACCAATGAAACTCCAACAACAACAATTATAACAACAGATTTGCCTACAATTGCTCCAGCCATGACCACTGAGGTGCCCACAACTGTAACATTAACATCAGATATTCTCACAACTAGTGTATCCACAGTGGAGTCTACTACAATCACAAAACAGACAACTGTGGAGACAACTTCTCTAGACACAACAATATTTACTACTGATGTACCCACAACAAGCAATGAAGCATCAACAACTACAAACATAACAACAGATTTAACTACAACTACTACATCCACAACCAAATCTGCTACAAGCACAGTGCCAGCAACTGCTGAAATAACAACGGCTCCAGCCGTGACTACTGAGGTACCCACAACTGCAACACTCACAGATATTCCCACGACTAGTGTATCCACGGTGGAAACGACTACAATTACCACACAGACAATTGCTGAGACAACTGCTCTAACAATGACAACAGTTAACACTGAAGTGTCCACAACCAATGAAACTCCAACAACAACAATTATAACAACAGATTTGCCTACAAATACTGCATCCGCAACTGAATTTACTACAAGTATAGCACCAACAACTATGGAAACAACTGCTTCACCTACAACAACTCTAGACACTACTTCAGAGGTACCCACAAGAACAACAATAACAATTATTACTACTGAAATACCTACAACAATCAATGAAGCACCAACAACTACAAACATAACAACAGATTTAACTACAACTACTACATCCACAACTGGACCTACTACAAGCACAGCACCAGCAACTGCTGAAATAACAACGGCTCCAGCCGTGACCACTGAGGTACCCACAACTACAACACTCACAGATATTCCCACGACTAGTGTATCCACAGTGGAAATGACTACAATCACTACACAGACAATTGCTGAGACAACTGCTCTAGCAACGACAACAGTTAACACTGAAGTGTCCACAACCAATGAAACTCCAACAACAACAATTATAACAACAGATTTGCCTACAATTGCTACATCCACAACTGAATCTACTACAAGCACAGCACCAGCAACTGCTGAGAAAACAACGGCTCCAGCCATGACTACTGAGGTACCCACAACTACAACACTCACAGATATTCCCACGACTAGTGTATCCACAGTGGAAATGACTACAATCACTACACAGACAATTGCTGAGACAACTGCTCTAGCAACGACAACAGTTAACACTGAAGTGTCCACAACCAATGAAACTCCAACAACAACAATTATAACAACAGATTTGCCTACAATTGCTACATCCACAACTGAATCTACTACAAGCACAGCACCAACAACTATGGAAACAACTGCTTCACCTACAACAACTCTAGACACTACTTCAGAGGTACCCACAAGAACAACAATAACAATTATTACTACTGAAATACCTACAACAATCAATGAAGCACCAACAACTACAAACATAACAACAGATTTAACTACAACTACTACATCCACAACTGGACCTACTACAAGCACAGCACCAGCAACTGCTGAAATAACAACGGCTCCAGCCGTGACCACTGAGGTACCCACAACTACAACACTCACAGATATTCCCACGACTAGTGTATCCACAGTGGAAATGACTACAATCACTACACAGACAATTGCTGAGACAACTGCTCTAGCAACGACAACAGTTAACACTGAAGTGTCCACAACCAATGAAACTCCAACAACAACAATTATAACAACAGATTTGCCTACAATTGCTACATCCACAACTGAATCTACTACAAGCACAGCACCAGCAACTGCTGAGAAAACAACGGCTCCAGCCATGACTACTGAGGTACCCACAACTACAACACTCACAGATATTCCCACGACTAGTGTATCCACAGTGGAAATGACTACAATCACTACACAGACAATTGCTGAGACAACTGCTCTAGCAACGACAACAGTTAACACTGAAGTGTCCACAACCAATGAAACTCCAACAACAACAATTATAACAACAGATTTGCCTACAATTGCTACATCCACAACTGAATCTACTACAAGCACAGCACCAGAAACTGCTGAAAAAACAACAGCTCCAGCCATGACTACTGAGGTACCCACAACTACAACACTCACAGATATTCCCACGACTAGTGTATCCATAGTGGAAAGTATGACAATCACTACACAGACAATTGTTGAGACAACTGCTCTAGCAACGACAACAGTTAATACTGAAGTGTCCACAACCAATGAAACTCCAACAACAACAATTATAACAACAGATTTGCCTACAAATACAGCATCCACAACTGAATTTACTACAAGTACAGCACCAACAACTGCGGAAACAACTGCTTCACCAACAAAAACGACTCTAGAAACTACTACTGAGGTACCCTCAAGTACAACACTAACAACAGATATTCCCACTACCAGCGTGTCCACGGTGGAGCCTAGTATAACCACACAACAGATAACTGCCCAGAAAACTGCTCTAGAAATTACTACTGAAGCACTCACAACATCCAAAGAAGCACCAACAACTACAATACTAACAACAGATTTAACTACAACTACTGCATCCACAATCGAACCTACTACAAGTACAGCACCAGCAACTGCCGAAATAACAACAACTCCAGCCATGACCACTGAGGTGCCCACAACTGTAACATTAACATCAGATATTCTCACAACTAGTGTATCCACAGTGGAGTCTACTACAATCACAAAACAGACAACTGTGGAGACAACTTCTCTAGACACAACAATATTTACTACTGATGTACCCACAACAAGAAATGAAGCATCAACAACTACAAACATAACAACAGATTTAACTACAACTACTACATCCACAACTAAATCTACTACGAGCACAGCGCCAGACACTGCTGAAATAACAACAGCTCCAGCTGTGACTACTGAGGTACCCACAACTGCAATACTCACAGATATTCCAACGACTAGTGTATCCACAGTGGAAATGACTACAATCACTACACAGACAATTGCTGAGACAACTGCTCTAGCAACGACAACAGTTAACACTGAAGTGTCCACAACCAATGAAACTCCAACAACAACAATTATAACAACAAATTTGCCTACAAATACAGCATCCACAACTGAATTTACTACAAGCAGAGCACCAACAACTGCGGAAACAACTGCTTCACCAACAACAATGACTCTAGAAACTACTACTGAGGTACCCACAACTTCAACACTCACAGATATTCCCATGACTGATGTATCCACAGTGGAAACTACTACAACTGCAACACAGACAATTGTTGAGACACCAAACACAGCACCAGCAACTGCTGGAACAACAGCAATAAATCTAGACACTACTACTGAGGTACCCACAACTGCAACACTCATAACAGATATTCCCACTACCAGTGTGTCCACGGTGGAGTCTAGTACAAACACAAAACAAACAACTGCTCAGACAACTGCTCTAGAAATGACAACAATTACTACTGAAGTACCCACAACAATCAATGAAGCACCAACAACTACAATACTAACAGCAGATTTACCCACATCTACGGCATCCACAACCAAACCTACTACAAGTGCAGCAGTAGCAACTGCTGAAATAACAATGACTTCAGCCATGACCACTGAGGCACCCACAACTATAACATTAACAACAGAATTTCCCACAACCAGTGTATCCACAGTGGCACCTACTACAATCCCAACACAGACAACTGTGGAGACAACTTCTCTGGACACGACAATAGTTACAACTGAAGTAATCACAACAACCAGTGCAGCACCAACAACTACGAACATAACAACAGATTTAACTACAACTACTACATCCACAACCATATCTACTATGAGCACAGCGCCAGCAACTGCTGAAATAACAACAGCTCCAGCCGTGACTACTGAGGTACCCACAACTACAACACTCACAGATACTCCCACGACTAGTGTATCCACAGTGGAAATGACTACAATCACTACACAGACAACTGCTGAGACAACTGCTCTAGCAACAACAACAGTTAACACTGAAGTGTCCACAACCAATGAAACTCCAACAACAACAATTATAACAACAGATTTGCCTACAAATACTGCATCCGCAACTGAATCTACTACAAGTATAGCACCAACAAATATGGAAACAACTGCTTCACCTACAACGACTCTAGACACTACTTCAGAGGTACCCACAAGAACAACACTGACAATTATTACTACTGAAGTACCTACAACAACCAATGAAGCACCAACAACTACAAACATAACAACAGATTTAACTACAACTACTACATCCACAACTGAATCTACTAAAAGCACAGCACCAGCAACTGCTGAAATAACAACAGCTCCAACCGTGACTACTGAGGTACCCACAACTACAACACTCACAGATATTCCAACGACTAGTGTATCCACAGTGGAAATGACTACAATCACTACACAGACAACTGCTGAGACAACTGCTCTAGCAACAACAACAGTTAACACTGAAGTGTCCACAACCAATGAAACTCCAACAACAACAATTATAACAACAAATTTGCCTACAAATACTACATCCACAACTGAATTTACTACAAGCAGAGCACCAACAACTGCGGAAACAACTGCTTCACCAACAACAATGACTCTAGAAACTACTACTGAGGTACCCACAAGTACAACACTAACAACAGATATTCCCACTACCAGTGCATCCACAGTGGAGTCTATCACAACCACACAACAGATAACTGCTGAGACAACTGCTCTAGAAACGACAATAATTACTACTGAAGTATCCACAATATCCAATGAAGCACCAACTACTACAATACTAACAACAGATTTAACTACAACTACTGCATCCACAACTGAACCTACTACAAGCACAGCACCAGCAACTGCCGAAACAACAACGGCTCCAGCTATAACTACTGAGGTACCCACAACTACAACACTAACAACAGATATTCCCACTATCAGTGTTTCCACAGTGGAGTCTAGTACAAACACAAAACAAACAACTGCTCAGACAACTGCTCTAGAAACTACAATAATTACAACTGCAGTACCCACAACAACCACTGAAGCACTGACGACAATCATAACAACAAATTTCACTACAAACACTGCATCTACAACAGAATCTACTACAAGCACAGCACCAGCAACAGCTGAAACACCAAAGGCTCCAGCCCTGGCTACTGGCGTACCTGCAACTACATCACTAACAACAGATATTCCCACTACCAGTGTGTCCACAGTCGAGCCTAGTACAACCACACAACAGATAACTGCCCAGACAACTGCTCTAGAAACAACAATAATTACTACTGAAGTACCCACAACATCTAATGAACCACTAACAACTACAATACTAACAACAGATTTACCGACAACTACGGCATCCGAAACCGAACCTACTACAAGTGCAGCAGCAGCAACTGCTGAAATAACAATGACTTCAGCCATGACCGGTAAGGTACCCACAACTATAACATTAACAACAGAAATTCCCACAACTAGTGTATCCACAGTGGCACCTACTACAATCACAACACAGACAACTGCGGAGACAACTTCTATGGACACGACAATAGTTACAACTGAAATAATCACAACAACCAATGAAGCACCAAAAACTGCTTCACCAAGAACAACGGCTCCAGACAGTACTACTGAGGTATTCACAACTGCAACACTAACAACAGATATTCCCACTACCAGTGCTTCCACAGAGGAGTCTACTACCATCACAAAACCAACAACTGCTAAGACAACTGTTTTAGAAACGACAATAATTACTACTGAAGTACCCACAACAACCAACAAAGCACCAACAACTGCTTCACCAACAACACTTCCTGACATGACTACTCAGGTACCCACAACTACTACACTAACAACAGATATTCCCACTACCAGTGTGTCCATGGTGGAATCTACTACAATCACAAAACAGACAATTGCTGAGACAATAATTACCACTGAAGTACCTAAAACAACCAACGAACCAACAACTACAATCATAACAACAGATTTGTCTACAACTACGGCATCCAGAAATGAATCTACTACAAACACAGCACCAGCAACTGCTGGAACAACCGGTGCCCCAACAGCAATGGCTGTAGACACTACTACTGAGGTACCCACAACTGTAACACTCACAACAGATATTCCCACCACCAGTGTGTCCACGGCGGAGTCTAGTACAAACACAAAACAAACAACTGCTCAGACAACTGCTCTAGAAACTACAATAATTACTACTGCAGTACCCACAACAACCACTGAAGCACTGACGACAATCATAACAACAAATTTCACTACAAATACTGCATCTACAATAGAATCCACTACAAGCACAACACCAGCAACAGCTGAAATACCAAAGGCTCCAGCCCTGGCTACTGATGTACCCACAATTACAACACTATCAACAGATTTTCCCACAACCAGTGTATCCACAGTGGCACCTACTACAATCCCAAAACAGACAACTGTGGAGACAACTTCTCTGGACACAACAATAGTTACACCTGAAGTAATCGAAACAACCAGTGCAGCACCAACAACTACGAACATAACAACAGATTTAACTACAACTACTACATCCACAACCATAGCTACTATGAGCACAGTGCCAGCAACTGCTGAAATAACAACAGCTCCAACCGTGACTACTGAGGTACCCACAACTACAACACTCACAGATATTCCCACAACTAGTGTATCCACAGTGGAAACTACTACAATCACTACACAGACAATTGCTGAGACAATTGCTCTAGCAACAACAACAGTTAACACTGAAGTGTCCACAACCAATGAAACTCCAACAACAACAATTATAACAACAGATTTGCCTAGAAATACTGCACCCACAACTGAAACTACTACAAGAACAGCACAAACAACTGAGGAAACAAGTGCTTCACCAGCAATAAATCTAGACACTACTACTGAGGTACCCACAAGTACAACACTAACAACAGATATTCCCACTACTAGCGCATCCATAGTGGAGTCTATTACAACCACACAACAGATAAATGCTGAGACAACTGCTCCAGATATGACAATAATTACTACTGAAGTATCCACAATATCCAATGAAGCACCAACTACTACAATACTAGCAACAGATTTAACTACAACTCCTGCATCCACAACTGAACCTACTACAAGCACAGCACCAGCAACTGCCGAAACAACAACGGCTCCAGCTATGACTAATGAGGTACCCACAAGTACAACACTAACAACAGATATTCCCACTACCAGTGTTTCCACAGTGGAGTCTACTACAATCACAAAACAGTCAACTGCTTTAGAAACAACAATAATTACTACTGAAGTACCCACAACCACTAATAACGAACAAACAACTACAATTGTAACAACAGATTTGTCGACAACCACGGCATCCAGAAATGAATCTACTACAAACACAGCACCAGCAACTGCTGGAACAACAGCAATGGCTGTAGACACTACTACTGAGGTAGCCACAACTGCAACACTCATAACAACAGATATTCCCACTACCAGTGTGTCTACGGTGGAGTCTAGTACAAACACAAAACAAACAACTGCTCAGACAACTGCTCTAGAAACTACAATAAATACTACTGCAGTACCCACAACAACCACTGAAGCACTGACTGATTTAGTAACTGCTACTGCATTCCCATCTCAGCACATTACAAATGCTTCACCAACTACAGTAGCTTCAAACAGAACTACTGAAATGCCAACAACTAAAGCCACAGAACAAACAACTGAAATGCTAATAACAAGTTTGTATACTACTGCTGCAGCCACCCTTCAGTCTACTACAAGTCCAGCAACTGCAGGTTCAACTGCATCACCAAGGACATTAAACTCAGAAACTACCACAACTAATTCACTCAGTACAGCAGCTAATTTAATAACAGTACCCATTGCTCCAGTAACTGTCCCAGATATTGCAGGTCCATACAATCTGACAACTATCAATGCTACAACCACCTATCTACCAACATCAGGAGGAATGAGACAAAACAGAAAAATGTAAGTATTTCATAACTTAATATATAACCGTACACCATAAGAAATGACAAACATTGAAAGTATTTAACAACATACTTCTTCTAATTTTAGTTCTGCAGTGGTCTACAGCAGGCTGGTGTTTAACTCCTCCTCTCCTGTCCCCACTGAGATTTTGGTCCTCAATGCTACTGGAACTCTGTTCAGCTCTCGACGTGCAAACCTCAGTGATTCTACTGAAGTGTTGAATGTCACTTACGACAGTATGTTGTTTTCAGAATTTTATTATACTGGTACACTTATCCACAACATTGTACCACCGTTTCAAAAATCCTTTTTGAATGCATTAAACTAAAAGCCATTTGACTTGTTCCACAGAAATTTCAGAAACTTCCTATGCAATCATCTTCACATTCAACGTCACAAATATCAGCATGCCCGAGAGCACTGTCCTCATGAATGACACATACATCCAAGTGAAGAACTCAGTCAACATCGCTGTAAGTCAAAATAATTATTAATTTTTCAGAACTTGTGTCATAAATTGGTCTGAAATAAACTTGTAGATTTTATCCTTAACCTTGGCCCAGCTTGTGCCTGTTTTAATGATCTGTTTAAGCACTGTACCTCAACCAATATGAGTTATATCATTAATAGTGCTATTACTTTATTTTTCTAATATATGTGTCTGAGTTATTTCATATGCTCCATATATCATTCAACAGTGATATGTGGAATAAATGATGAGAAATAATTTTTAATTGCAAGATTGTATATTTCATTAATGTATATGTAAAATTTATTGTAGATCTGGGCAATATTGATTAGATCATCAATTGGTTAATGTAAAAAACTTTGTGAGTCAATTTCACTATACAAATTTTTTGATGCTGCGGCCTAACTCGCGTCAGAATGAGGTTTTTTTTTTCTTGATTGATCTTGTTCCTGAATCCACATATTCTACTGATCCATTTCAGAACTGTGGCTTGACTAATTTAAGCTATATTATTAATTTTCATATTAATAATTACTTTTCTTATGCATTTTTGTTGAGCAATTTGACATGCTCTGCGTATCACACAACAGGGAGAATATGTCATGATAATTTTAAAGTGCAAGATTTGTGTATCTCAGTATTTTATATGTAATTGAAAATGTATTTGAGATTAGGGCAACATTGATTTGATAGTCAATTGATTCACTTAAATACCTTTTATTGTTAAATAAAATGTGTTATTAGAACTTAAACCCTTTGTTTCTGTCTCCAGCTAAACACACTGCTTAATGAACCTAGTGCAGATCTGTTTGAACCCCAGAGATCTGACTTCAGGTTAGTTCACAACAGAAACCATTTATTTTGTGAAATTTTTAACTTAATGCCTTTGTGCAATAAATAGTGTTGTAATTATATTTCTTTCATTTTCTTGAACCAGAATGTTAGCAAACCAGGTTGAAGGTAACATGGAGTACAGCTTCCAAGAAGGAGACACCAAAACACCAATCACCTTCCTTAATGAGCTCAAGACCCAGAGTGGTACGTTTAGTCACAGTATTGTGTATCTTAGCTCCTCTATTCCTTTTAATTGATAGTTTTTATTCTATTTTAATGTAACGTTCCTTTAACAAATTATTGTTCTTTCTTGTAGCCTCACCTACAACGGTTTCTCCAATGGCTACAAGTAATCTGATTGTGACTTCTGCAGCAACTCCTTCCAAAATGTATGTTAAATCCATAACAGATATGTTTCAAGTACACTTAAAAACTCTTTATTGATCTTCATTCAAAATTAATCAATATGATGATTTTTCCCTTCCAGTTCTACTTCTGCAGTGGTCTACAGCAGGATGGTGTTCAACTCCTCCTCTCCTGTCCCCACTGAGAGTTTGGTCCTCAATGCTACCAACACTTTGCTCAACTCTCGACGTGCAAACCTCAGTGATTCCATTAAAGTGCTGAACGTCACCTATGAGAGTATGTTTTCCTTTCTAATTTAATTTCACTGTTACAACTGTGTCCAACATTGTGCCACCGTTCTAAAAACCCTTCTGTAATCCACCAAACTAAGAAAAACTTTCGATATTTTCCACAGAAATTTCAGAAACTTCCTATGCAGTCATCTTCACGTTCAACATCAGTGATATCAGCATGCCTGAGAGCACTGTCCTCATGAATGACACATACACCCAAGTGAAGAACTCTGTCAACATCGCTGTGAGTCAATTTCACTATACAAATTTTTCGATGTTGCGGCCTAACTCGCGTCAGAATGAGGGTTTTTTTTTCTTGATTGATCTTGTTCCTGAATCCACATATTCTACTGATCCGTTTCAGAACTGTGGCTTGACTAATTTAAGCTATATTATTAATTTTCATATTAATAATTACTTTTCTTATGCATTTTTGTTGAGCAATTTGACATGCTCTGCGTATCACACAACAGGGAGACAGAGAATATGTCATGATAATTTTAAAATGCAAGATTTGTGTATCTCAGTATTTTATATGTAACTAAATTGAAAATGTATTTGAGATTAGGGCAACATTGATTTGATAGTCAATTGATTCACTTAAATACATTTTATTGTTAAATAAAATGTGTTATTAGAACTTAAACCCTTTGTTTCTGTCTCCAGCTAAACACACTGCTTAATGAACCTAGTGCAGATCTGTTTGAACCCCAGAGATCTGACTTCAGGTTAGTTCACAACAGAAACCATTTATTTTGTGAAATTTTTAACTTTCATGCCTTTGTGCAATAAATAGTGTTGTAATTATATTTCCTTTATTTTCTTGAACCAGAATGTTAGCAAACCAGGTTGAAGGTAACATGGAATACAGCTTCCAAGAAGGAGACACCAAAACACCAATCACCTTCCTTAATGAGCTCAAGACACAGAGTGGTACGTTTAGTCACAGTATTGTGTATCTTAGCTCCTCTATTCCTTTTAATTGATAGTTTTTATTCTATTTTAATGTAACGTTCCTTTAACAAATTATTGTTCTTTCTTGTAGCCTCACCTACAACGGTTTCTCCAATGGCTACAAGTAATCTGATTGTGACTTCTGCAGCAACTCCTTCCAAAATGTATGTTAAATCCATAACAGATATGTTTCAAGTACACTTAAAAACTCTTTATTGATCTTCATTCAAAATTAATCAATATGATGATTTTTCCCTTCCAGTTCTACTTCTGCAGTGGTCTACAGCAGGATGGTGTTCAACTCCTCCTCTCCTGTCCCCACTGAGAGTTTGGTCCTCAATGCTACCAACACTTTGCTCAACTCTCGACGTGCAAACCTCAGTGATTCCATTAAAGTGCTGAACGTCACCTATGAGAGTATGTTTTCCTTTCTAATTTAATTTCACTGTTACAACTGTGTCCAACATTGTGCCACCGTTCTAAAAACCCTTCTGTAATCCACCAAACTAAGAAAAACTTTCGATATTTTCCACAGAAATTTCAGAAACTTCCTATGCAGTCATCTTCACGTTCAACATCAGTGATATCAGCATGCCTGAGAGCACTGTCCTCATGAATGACACATACACCCAAGTGAAGAACTCTGTCAACATCGCTGTGAGTCAATTTCACTATACAAATTTTTCGATGTTGCGGCCTAACTCGCGTCAGAATGAGGGTTTTTTTTTCTTGATTGATCTTGTTCCTGAATCCACATATTCTACTGATCCGTTTCAGAACTGTGGCTTGACTAATTTAAGCTATATTATTAATTTTCATATTAATAATTACTTTTCTTATGCATTTTTGTTGAGCAATTTGACATGCTCTGCGTATCACACAACAGGGAGACAGAGAATATGTCATGATAATTTTAAAATGCAAGATTTGTGTATCTCAGTATTTTATATGTAACTAAATTGAAAATGTATTTGAGATTAGGGCAACATTGATTTGATAGTCAATTGATTCACTTAAATACCTTTTATTGTTAAATAAAATGTGTTATTAGAACTTAAACCCTTTGTTTCTGTCTCCAGCTAAACACACTGCTTAATGAACCTAGTGCAGATCTGTTTGAACCCCAGAGATCTGACTTCAGGTTAGTTCACAACAGAAACCATTTATTTTGTGAAATTTTTAACTTTCATGCCTTTGTGCAATAAATAGTGTTGTAATTATATTTCTTTCATTTTCTTGAACCAGAATGTTAGCAAACCAGGTTGAAGGTAACATGGAGTACAGCTTCCAAGAAGGAGACACCAAAACACCAATCACCTTCCTTAATGAGCTCAAGACACAGAGTGGTACGTTTAGTCACAGTATTGTGTATCTTAGCTCCTCTATTCCTTTTAATTGATAGTTTTTATTCTATTTTAATGTAACGTTCCTTTAACAAATTATTGTTCTTTCTTGTAGCCTCACCTACAACGGTTTCTCCAATGGCTACAAGTAATCTGATTGTGACTTCTGCAGCAACTCCTTCCAAAATGTATGTTAAATCCATAACAGATATGTTTCAAGTACACTTAAAAACTCTTTATTGATCTTCATTCAAAATTAATCAATATGATGATTTTTCCCTTCCAGTTCTACTTCTGCAGTGGTCTACAGCAGGATGGTGTTCAACTCCTCCTCTCCTGTCCCCACTGAGAGTTTGGTCCTCAATGCTACCAACACTTTGCTCAACTCTCGACGTGCAAACCTCAGTGATTCCATTAAAGTGCTGAACGTCACCTATGAGAGTATGTTTTCCTTTCTAATTTAATTTCACTGTTACAACTGTGTCCAACATTGTGCCACCGTTCTAAAAACCCTTCTGTAATCCACCAAACTAAGAAAAACTTTCGATATTTTCCACAGAAATTTCAGAAACTTCCTATGCAGTCATCTTCACGTTCAACATCAGTGATATCAGCATGCCTGAGAGCACTGTCCTCATGAATGACACATACACCCAAGTGAAGAACTCTGTCAACATCGCTGTGAGTCAATTTCACTATACAAATTTTTCGATGTTGCGGCCTAACTCGCGTCAGAATGAGGGTTTTTTTTTCTTGATTGATCTTGTTCCTGAATCCACATATTCTACTGATCCGTTTCAGAACTGTGGCTTGACTAATTTAAGCTATATTATTAATTTTCATATTAATAATTACTTTTCTTATGCATTTTTGTTGAGCAATTTGACATGCTCTGCGTATCACACAACAGGGAGACAGAGAATATGTCATGATAATTTTAAAATGCAAGATTTGTGTATCTCAGTATTTTATATGTAACTAAATTGAAAATGTATTTGAGATTAGGGCAACATTGATTTGATAGTCAATTGATTCACTTAAATACATTTTATTGTTAAATAAAATGTGTTATTAGAACTTAAACCCTTTGTTTCTGTCTCCAGCTAAACACACTGCTTAATGAACCTAGTGCAGATCTGTTTGAACCCCAGAGATCTGACTTCAGGTTAGTTCACAACAGAAACCATTTATTTTGTGAAATTTTTAACTTTCATGCCTTTGTGCAATAAATAGTGTTGTAATTATATTTCCTTTATTTTCTTGAACCAGAATGTTAGCAAACCAGGTTGAAGGTAACATGGAATACAGCTTCCAAGAAGGAGACACCAAAACACCAATCACCTTCCTTAATGAGCTCAAGACACAGAGTGGTACGTTTAGTCACAGTATTGTGTATCTTAGCTCCTCTATTCCTTTTAATTGATAGTTTTTATTCTATTTTAATGTAACGTTCCTTTAACAAATTATTGTTCTTTCTTGTAGCCTCACCTACAACGGTTTCTCCAATGGCTACAAGTAATCTGATTGTGACTTCTGCAGCAACTCCTTCCAAAATGTATGTTAAATCCATAACAGATATGTTTCAAGTACACTTAAAAACTCTTTATTGATCTTCATTCAAAATTAATCAATATGATGATTTTTCCCTTCCAGTTCTACTTCTGCAGTGGTCTACAGCAGGATGGTGTTCAACTCCTCCTCTCCTGTCCCCACTGAGAGTTTGGTCCTCAATGCTACCAACACTTTGCTCAACTCTCGACGTGCAAACCTCAGTGATTCCATTAAAGTGCTGAACGTCACCTATGAGAGTATGTTTTCCTTTCTAATTTAATTTCACTGTTACAACTGTGTCCAACATTGTGCCACCGTTCTAAAAACCCTTCTGTAATCCACCAAACTAAGAAAAACTTTCGATATTTTCCACAGAAATTTCAGAAACTTCCTATGCAGTCATCTTCACGTTCAACATCAGTGATATCAGCATGCCTGAGAGCACTGTCCTCATGAATGACACATACACCCAAGTGAAGAACTCTGTCAACATCGCTGTGAGTCAATTTCACTATACAAATTTTTCGATGTTGCGGCCTAACTCGCGTCAGAATGAGGGTTTTTTTTTCTTGATTGATCTTGTTCCTGAATCCACATATTCTACTGATCCGTTTCAGAACTGTGGCTTGACTAATTTAAGCTATATTATTAATTTTCATATTAATAATTACTTTTCTTATGCATTTTTGTTGAGCAATTTGACATGCTCTGCGTATCACACAACAGGGAGACAGAGAATATGTCATGATAATTTTAAAATGCAAGATTTGTGTATCTCAGTATTTTATATGTAACTAAATTGAAAATGTATTTGAGATTAGGGCAACATTGATTTGATAGTCAATTGATTCACTTAAATACCTTTTATTGTTAAATAAAATGTGTTATTAGAACTTAAACCCTTTGTTTCTGTCTCCAGCTAAACACACTGCTTAATGAACCTAGTGCAGATCTGTTTGAACCCCAGAGATCTGACTTCAGGTTAGTTCACAACAGAAACCATTTATTTTGTGAAATTTTTAACTTTCATGCCTTTGTGCAATAAATAGTGTTGTAATTATATTTCTTTCATTTTCTTGAACCAGAATGTTAGCAAACCAGGTTGAAGGTAACATGGAGTACAGCTTCCAAGAAGGAGACACCAAAACACCAATCACCTTCCTTAATGAGCTCAAGACACAGAGTGGTACGTTTAGTCACAGTATTGTGTATCTTAGCTCCTCTATTCCTTTTAATTGATAGTTTTATTCTATTTTAATGTAACGTTCCTTTAACAAATTATTGTTCTTTCTTGTAGCCTCACCTACAACGGTTTCTCCAATGGCTACAAGTAATCTGATTGTGACTTCTGCAGCAACTCCTTCCAAAATGTATGTTAAATCCATAACAGATATGTTTCAAGTACACTTAAAAACTCTTTATTGATCTTCATTCAAAATTAATCAATATGATGATTTTTCCCTTCCAGTTCTACTTCTGCAGTGGTCTACAGCAGGATGGTGTTCAACTCCTCCTCTCCTGTCCCCACTGAGAGTTTGGTCCTCAATGCTACCAACACTTTGCTCAACTCTCGACGTGCAAACCTCAGTGATTCCATTAAAGTGCTGAACGTCACCTATGAGAGTATGTTTTCCTTTCTAATTTAATTTCACTGTTACAACTGTGTCCAACATTGTGCCACCGTTCTAAAAACCCTTCTGTAATCCACCAAACTAAGAAAAACTTTCGATATTTTCCACAGAAATTTCAGAAACTTCCTATGCAGTCATCTTCACGTTCAACATCAGTGATATCAGCATGCCTGAGAGCACTGTCCTCATGAATGACACATACACCCAAGTGAAGAACTCTGTCAACATCGCTGTGAGTCAATTTCACTATACAAATTTTTCGATGTTGCGGCCTAACTCGCGTCAGAATGAGGGTTTTTTTTTCTTGATTGATCTTGTTCCTGAATCCACATATTCTACTGATCCGTTTCAGAACTGTGGCTTGACTAATTTAAGCTATATTATTAATTTTCATATTAATAATTACTTTTCTTATGCATTTTTGTTGAGCAATTTGACATGCTCTGCGTATCACACAACAGGGAGACAGAGAATATGTCATGATAATTTTAAAATGCAAGATTTGTGTATCTCAGTATTTTATATGTAACTAAATTGAAAATGTATTTGAGATTAGGGCAACATTGATTTGATAGTCAATTGATTCACTTAAATACCTTTTATTGTTAAATAAAATGTGTTATTAGAACTTAAACCCTTTGTTTCTGTCTCCAGCTAAACACACTGCTTAATGAACCTAGTGCAGATCTGTTTGAACCCCAGAGATCTGACTTCAGGTTAGTTCACAACAGAAACCATTTATTTTGTGAAATTTTTAACTTTCATGCCTTTGTGCAATAAATAGTGTTGTAATTATATTTCTTTCATTTTCTTGAACCAGAATGTTAGCAAACCAGGTTGAAGGTAACATGGAGTACAGCTTCCAAGAAGGAGACACCAAAACACCAATCACCTTCCTTAATGAGCTCAAGACACAGAGTGGTACGTTTAGTCACAGTATTGTGTATCTTAGCTCCTCTATTCCTTTTAATTGATAGTTTTTATTCTATTTTAATGTAACGTTCCTTTAACAAATTATTGTTCTTTCTTGTAGCCTCACCTACAACGGTTTCTCCAATGGCTACAAGTAATCTGATTGTGACTTCTGCAGCAACTCCTTCCAAAATGTATGTTAAATCCATAACAGATATGTTTCAAGTACACTTAAAAACTCTTTATTGATCTTCATTCAAAATTAATCAATATGATGATTTTTCCCTTCCAGTTCTACTTCTGCAGTGGTCTACAGCAGGATGGTGTTCAACTCCTCCTCTCCTGTCCCCACTGAGAGTTTGGTCCTCAATGCTACCAACACTTTGCTCAACTCTCGACGTGCAAACCTCAGTGATTCCATTAAAGTGCTGAACGTCACCTATGAGAGTATGTTTTCCTTTCTAATTTAATTTCACTGTTACAACTGTGTCCAACATTGTGCCACCGTTCTAAAAACCCTTCTGTAATCCACCAAACTAAGAAAAACTTTCGATATTTTCCACAGAAATTTCAGAAACTTCCTATGCAGTCATCTTCACGTTCAACATCAGTGATATCAGCATGCCTGAGAGCACTGTCCTCATGAATGACACATACACCCAAGTGAAGAACTCTGTCAACATCGCTGTGAGTCAATTTCACTATACAAATTTTTCGATGTTGCGGCCTAACTCGCGTCAGAATGAGGGTTTTTTTTTCTTGATTGATCTTGTTCCTGAATCCACATATTCTACTGATCCGTTTCAGAACTGTGGCTTGACTAATTTAAGCTATATTATTAATTTTCATATTAATAATTACTTTTCTTATGCATTTTTGTTGAGCAATTTGACATGCTCTGCGTATCACACAACAGGGAGACAGAGAATATGTCATGATAATTTTAAAATGCAAGATTTGTGTATCTCAGTATTTTATATGTAACTAAATTGAAAATGTATTTGAGATTAGGGCAACATTGATTTGATAGTCAATTGATTCACTTAAATACCTTTTATTGTTAAATAAAATGTGTTATTAGAACTTAAACCCTTTGTTTCTGTCTCCAGCTAAACACACTGCTTAATGAACCTAGTGCAGATCTGTTTGAACCCCAGAGATCTGACTTCAGGTTAGTTCACAACAGAAACCATTTATTTTGTGAAATTTTTAACTTTCATGCCTTTGTGCAATAAATAGTGTTGTAATTATATTTCCTTTATTTTCTTGAACCAGAATGTTAGCAAACCAGGTTGAAGGTAACATGGAGTACAGCTTCCAAGAAGGAGACACCAAAACACCAATCACCTTCCTTAATGAGCTCAAGACACAGAGTGGTACGTTTAGTCACAGTATTGTGTATCTTAGCTCCTCTATTCCTTTTAATTGATAGTTTTATTCTATTTTAATGTAACGTTCCTTTAACAAATTATTGTTCTTTCTTGTAGCCTCACCTACAACGGTTTCTCCAATGGCTACAAGTAATCTGATTGTGACTTCTGCAGCAACTCCTTCCAAAATGTATGTTAAATCCATAACAGATATGTTTCAAGTACACTTAAAAACTCTTTATTGATCTTCATTCAAAATTAATCAATATGATGATTTTTCCCTTCCAGTTCTACTTCTGCAGTGGTCTACAGCAGGATGGTGTTCAACTCCTCCTCTCCTGTCCCCACTGAGAGTTTGGTCCTCAATGCTACCAACACTTTGCTCAACTCTCGACGTGCAAACCTCAGTGATTCCATTAAAGTGCTGAACGTCACCTATGAGAGTATGTTTTCCTTTCTAATTTAATTTCACTGTTACAACTGTGTCCAACATTGTGCCACCGTTCTAAAAACCCTTCTGTAATCCACCAAACTAAGAAAAACTTTCGATATTTTCCACAGAAATTTCAGAAACTTCCTATGCAGTCATCTTCACGTTCAACATCAGTGATATCAGCATGCCTGAGAGCACTGTCCTCATGAATGACACATACACCCAAGTGAAGAACTCTGTCAACATCGCTGTGAGTCAATTTCACTATACAAATTTTTCGATGTTGCGGCCTAACTCGCGTCAGAATGAGGGTTTTTTTTTCTTGATTGATCTTGTTCCTGAATCCACATATTCTACTGATCCGTTTCAGAACTGTGGCTTGACTAATTTAAGCTATATTATTAATTTTCATATTAATAATTACTTTTCTTATGCATTTTTGTTGAGCAATTTGACATGCTCTGCGTATCACACAACAGGGAGACAGAGAATATGTCATGATAATTTTAAAATGCAAGATTTGTGTATCTCAGTATTTTATATGTAACTAAATTGAAAATGTATTTGAGATTAGGGCAACATTGATTTGATAGTCAATTGATTCACTTAAATACCTTTTATTGTTAAATAAAATGTGTTATTAGAACTTAAACCCTTTGTTTCTGTCTCCAGCTAAACACACTGCTTAATGAACCTAGTGCAGATCTGTTTGAACCCCAGAGATCTGACTTCAGGTTAGTTCACAACAGAAACCATTTATTTTGTGAAATTTTTAACTTTCATGCCTTTGTGCAATAAATAGTGTTGTAATTATATTTCTTTCATTTTCTTGAACCAGAATGTTAGCAAACCAGGTTGAAGGTAACATGGAGTACAGCTTCCAAGAAGGAGACACCAAAACACCAATCACCTTCCTTAATGAGCTCAAGACACAGAGTGGTACGTTTAGTCACAGTATTGTGTATCTTAGCTCCTCTATTCCTTTTAATTGATAGTTTTATTCTATTTTAATGTAACGTTCCTTTAACAAATTATTGTTCTTTCTTGTAGCCTCACCTACAACGGTTTCTCCAATGGCTACAAGTAATCTGATTGTGACTTCTGCAGCAACTCCTTCCAAAATGTATGTTAAATCCATAACAGATATGTTTCAAGTACACTTAAAAACTCTTTATTGATCTTCATTCAAAATTAATCAATATGATGATTTTTCCCTTCCAGTTCTACTTCTGCAGTGGTCTACAGCAGGATGGTGTTCAACTCCTCCTCTCCTGTCCCCACTGAGAGTTTGGTCCTCAATGCTACCAACACTTTGCTCAACTCTCGACGTGCAAACCTCAGTGATTCCATTAAAGTGCTGAACGTCACCTATGAGAGTATGTTTTCCTTTCTAATTTAATTTCACTGTTACAACTGTGTCCAACATTGTGCCACCGTTCTAAAAACCTTTCTGTAATCCACCAAACTAAGAAAAACTTTCAATATTTTCCACAGAAATTTCAGAAACTTCCTATGCAGTCATCTTCACGTTCAACATCAGTGATATCAGCATGCCTGAGAGCACTGTCCTCATGAATGACACATACATCCCAAGTGAAGAACTCTGTCAACATCGCTGTGAGTCAATTTCACTATACAAATTTTTCGATGTTGCGGCCTAACTCGCGTCAGAATGAGGTTTTTTTTTTCTTGATTGATCTTGTTCCTGAATCCACATTTTCTACTGATCCGTTTCAGAACTGTGGCTTGACTAATTTAAGCTATATTATTAATTTTCATATTAATAATTACTTTTCTTATGCATTTTTGTTGAGCAATTTGACATGCTCTGCGTATCACACAACAGGGAGACAGAGAATATGTCATGATAATTTTAAAATGCAAGATTTGTGTATCTCAGTATTTTATATGTAACTAAATTGAAAATGTATTTGAGATTAGGGCAACATTGATTTGATAGTCAATTGATTCACTTAAATACCTTTTATTGTTAAATAAAATGTGTTATTAGAACTTAAACCCTTTGTTTCTGTCTCCAGCTAAACACACTGCTTAATGAACCTAGTGCAGATCTGTTTGAACCCCAGAGATCTGACTTCAGGTTAGTTCACAACAGAAACCATTTATTTTGTGAAATTTTTAACTTTCATGCCTTTGTGCAATAAATAGTGTTGTAATTATATTTCTTTCATTTTCTTGAACCAGAATGTTAGCAAACCAGGTTGAAGGTAACATGGAGTACAGCTTCCAAGAAGGAGACACCAAAACACCAATCACCTTCCTTAATGAGCTCAAGACACAGAGTGGTACGTTTAGTCACAGTATTGTGTATCTTAGCTCCTCTATTCCTTTTAATTGATAGTTTTTATTCTATTTTAATGTAACGTTCCTTTAACAAATTATTGTTCTTTCTTGTAGCCTCACCTACAACGGTTTCTCCAATGGCTACAAGTAATCTGATTGTGACTTCTGCAGCAACTCCTTCCAAAATGTATGTTAAATCCATAACAGATATGTTTCAAGTACACTTAAAAACTCTTTATTGATCTTCATTCAAAATTAATCAATATGATGATTTTTCCCTTCCAGTTCTACTTCTGCAGTGGTCTACAGCAGGATGGTGTTCAACTCCTCCTCTCCTGTCCCCACTGAGAGTTTGGTCCTCAATGCTACCAACACTTTGCTCAACTCTCGACGTGCAAACCTCAGTGATTCCATTAAAGTGCTGAACGTCACCTATGAGAGTATGTTTTCCTTTCTAATTTAATTTCACTGTTACAACTGTGTCCAACATCGTGCCACCGTTCTAAAAACCCTTCTGTAATCCACCAAACTAAGAAAAACTTTCGATATTTTCCACAGAAATTTCAGAAACTTCCTATGCAGTCATCTTCACGTTCAACATCAGTGATATCAGCATGCCTGAGAGCACTGTCCTCATGAATGACACATACACCCAAGTGAAGAACTCTGTCAACATCGCTGTGAGTCAATTTCACTATACAAATTTTTCGATGTTGCGGCCTAACTCGCGTCAGAATGAGGGTTTTTTTTTCTTGATTGATCTTGTTCCTGAATCCACATATTCTACTGATCCGTTTCAGAACTGTGGCTTGACTAATTTAAGCTATATTATTAATTTTCATATTAATAATTACTTTTCTTATGCATTTTTGTTGAGCAATTTGACATGCTCTGCGTATCACACAACAGGGAGACAGAGAATATGTCATGATAATTTTAAAATGCAAGATTTGTGTATCTCAGTATTTTATATGTAACTAAATTGAAAATGTATTTGAGATTAGGGCAACATTGATTTGATAGTCAATTGATTCACTTAAATACCTTTTATTGTTAAATAAAATGTGTTATTAGAACTTAAACCCTTTGTTTCTGTCTCCAGCTAAACACACTGCTTAATGAACCTAGTGCAGATCTGTTTGAACCCCAGAGATCTGACTTCAGGTTAGTTCACAACAGAAACCATTTATTTTGTGAAATTTTTAACTTTCATGCCTTTGTGCAATAAATAGTGTTGTAATTATATTTCTTTCATTTTCTTGAACCAGAATGTTAGCAAACCAGGTTGAAGGTAACATGGAGTACAGCTTCCAAGAAGGAGACACCAAAACACCAATCACCTTCCTTAATGAGCTCAAGACACAGAGTGGTACGTTTAGTCACAGTATTGTGTATCTTAGCTCCTCTATTCCTTTTAATTGATAGTTTTTATTCTATTTTAATGTAACGTTCCTTTAACAAATTATTGTTCTTTCTTGTAGCCTCACCTACAACGGTTTCTCCAATGGCTACAAGTAATCTGATTGTGACTTCTGCAGCAACTCCTTCCAAAATGTATGTTAAATCCATAACAGATATGTTTCAAGTACACTTAAAAACTCTTTATTGATCTTCATTCAAAATTAATCAATATGATGATTTTTCCCTTCCAGTTCTACTTCTGCAGTGGTCTACAGCAGGATGGTGTTCAACTCCTCCTCTCCTGTCCCCACTGAGAGTTTGGTCCTCAATGCTACCAACACTTTGCTCAACTCTCGACGTGCAAACCTCAGTGATTCCATTAAAGTGCTGAACGTCACCTATGAGAGTATGTTTTCCTTTCTAATTTAATTTCACTGTTACAACTGTGTCCAACATCGTGCCACCGTTCTAAAAACCCTTCTGTAATCCACCAAACTAAGAAAAACTTTCGATATTTTCCACAGAAATTTCAGAAACTTCCTATGCAGTCATCTTCACGTTCAACATCAGTGATATCAGCATGCCTGAGAGCACTGTCCTCATGAATGACACATACACCCAAGTGAAGAACTCTGTCAACATCGCTGTGAGTCAATTTCACTATACAAATTTTTCGATGTTGCGGCCTAACTCGCGTCAGAATGAGGTTTTTTTTTTCTTGATTGATCTTGTTCCTGAATCCACATTTTCTACTGATCCGTTTCAGAACTGTGGCTTGACTAATTTAAGCTATATTATTAATTTTCATATTAATAATTACTTTTCTTATGCATTTTTGTTGAGCAATTTGACATGCTCTGCGTATCACACAACAGGGAGACAGAGAATATGTCATGATAATTTTAAAATGCAAGATTTGTGTATCTCAGTATTTTATATGTAACTAAATTGAAAATGTATTTGAGATTAGGGCAACATTGATTTGATAGTCAATTGATTCACTTAAATACCTTTTATTGTTAAATAAAATGTGTTATTAGAACTTAAACCCTTTGTTTCTGTCTCCAGCTAAACACACTGCTTAATGAACCTAGTGCAGATCTGTTTGAACCCCAGAGATCTGACTTCAGGTTAGTTCACAACAGAAACCATTTATTTTGTGAAATTTTTAACTTTCATGCCTTTGTGCAATAAATAGTGTTGTAATTATATTTCTTTCATTTTCTTGAACCAGAATGTTAGCAAACCAGGTTGAAGGTAACATGGAGTACAGCTTCCAAGAAGGAGACACCAAAACACCAATCACCTTCCTTAATGAGCTCAAGACACAGAGTGGTACGTTTAGTCACAGTATTGTGTATCTTAGCTCCTCTATTCCTTTTAATTGATAGTTTTTATTCTATTTTAATGTAACGTTCCTTTAACAAATTATTGTTCTTTCTTGTAGCCTCACCTACAACGGTTTCTCCAATGGCTACAAGTAATCTGATTGTGACTTCTGCAGCAACTCCTTCCAAAATGTATGTTAAATCCATAACAGATATGTTTCAAGTACACTTAAAAACTCTTTATTGATCTTCATTCAAAATTAATCAATATGATGATTTTTCCCTTCCAGTTCTACTTCTGCAGTGGTCTACAGCAGGATGGTGTTCAACTCCTCCTCTCCTGTCCCCACTGAGAGTTTGGTCCTCAATGCTACCAACACTTTGCTCAACTCTCGACGTGCAAACCTCAGTGATTCCATTAAAGTGCTGAACGTCACCTATGAGAGTATGTTTTCCTTTCTAATTTAATTTCACTGTTACAACTGTGTCCAACATCGTGCCACCGTTCTAAAAACCCTTCTGTAATCCACCAAACTAAGAAAAACTTTCGATATTTTCCACAGAAATTTCAGAAACTTCCTATGCAGTCATCTTCACGTTCAACATCAGTGATATCAGCATGCCTGAGAGCACTGTCCTCATGAATGACACATACACCCAAGTGAAGAACTCTGTCAACATCGCTGTGAGTCAATTTCACTATACAAATTTTTCGATGTTGCGGCCTAACTCGCGTCAGAATGAGGGTTTTTTTTTCTTGATTGATCTTGTTCCTGAATCCACATTTTCTACTGATCCGTTTCAGAACTGTGGCTTGACTAATTTAAGCTATATTATTAATTTTCATATTAATAATTACTTTTCTTATGCATTTTTGTTGAGCAATTTGACATGCTCTGCGTATCACACAACAGGGAGACAGAGAATATGTCATGATAATTTTAAAATGCAAGATTTGTGTATCTCAGTATTTTATATGTAACTAAATTGAAAATGTATTTGAGATTAGGGCAACATTGATTTGATAGTCAATTGATTCACTTAAATACCTTTTATTGTTAAATAAAATGTGTTATTAGAACTTAAACCCTTTGTTTCTGTCTCCAGCTAAACACACTGCTTAATGAACCTAGTGCAGATCTGTTTGAACCCCAGAGATCTGACTTCAGGTTAGTTCACAACAGAAACCATTTATTTTGTGAAATTTTTAACTTTCATGCCTTTGTGCAATAAATAGTGTTGTAATTATATTTCTTTCATTTTCTTGAACCAGAATGTTAGCAAACCAGGTTGAAGGTAACATGGAGTACAGCTTCCAAGAAGGAGACACCAAAACACCAATCACCTTCCTTAATGAGCTCAAGACACAGAGTGGTACGTTTAGTCACAGTATTGTGTATCTTAGCTCCTCTATTCCTTTTAATTGATAGTTTTTATTCTATTTTAATGTAACGTTCCTTTAACAAATTATTGTTCTTTCTTGTAGCCTCACCTACAACGGTTTCTCCAATGGCTACAAGTAATCTGATTGTGACTTCTGCAGCAACTCCTTCCAAAATGTATGTTAAATACATAACAGATATGTTTCAAGTACACTTAAAAAGCTCTTTATTGATCTTCATTCAAAATTAATCAATATGATGATTTTTCCCTTCCAGTTCTACTTCTGCAGTGGTCTACAGCAGGATGGTGTTCAACTCCTCCTCTCCTGTCCCCACTGAGAGTTTGGTCCTCAATGCTACCAACACTTTGCTCAACTCTCGACGTGCAAACCTCAGTGATTCCATTAAAGTGCTGAACGTCACCTATGAGAGTATGTTTTCCTTTCTAATTTAATTTCACTGTTACAACTGTGTCCAACATTGTGCCACCGTTCTAAAAACCCTTCTGTAATCCACCAAACTAAGAAAAACTATTCGATATTTTCCACAGAAATTTCAGAAACTTCCTATGCAGTCATCTTCACGTTCAACATCAGTGATATCAGCATGCCTGAGAGCACTGTCCTCATGAATGACACATACACCCAAGTGAAGAACTCTGTCAACATCGCTGTGAGTCAATTTCACTATACAAATTTTTCGATGTTGCGGCCTAACTCGCATCAGAATGAGGCTTTTTTTTTCTTGATTGATCTTGTTCCTGAATCCACATATTCTACTGATCCGTTTCAGAACTGTGGCTTGACTAATTTAAGCTATATTATTAATTTTCATATTAATAATTACTTTTCTTATGCATTTTTGTTGAGCAATTTGACATGCTCTGCGTATCACACAACAGGGAGACAGAGAATATGTCATGATAATTTTAAAATGCAAGATTTGTGTATCTCAGTATTTTATATGTAACTAAATTGAAAATGTATTTGAGATTAGGGCAACATTGATTTGATAGTCAATTGATTCACTTAAATACCTTTTATTGTTAAATAAAATGTGTTATTAGAACTTAAACCCTTTGTTTCTGTCTCCAGCTAAACACACTGCTTAATGAACCTAGTGCAGATCTGTTTGAACCCCAGAGATCTGACTTCAGGTTAGTTCACAACAGAAACCATTTATTTTGTGAAATTTTTAACTTTCATGCCTTTGTGCAATAAATAGTGTTGTAATTATATTTCCTTTATTTTCTTGAACCAGAATGTTAGCAAACCAGGTTGAAGGTAACATGGAGTACAGCTTCCAAGAAGGAGACACCAAAACACCAATCACCTTCCTTAATGAGCTCAAGACACAGAGTGGTACGTTTAGTCACAGTATTGTGTATCTTAGCTCCTCTATTCCTTTTAATTGATAGTTTTTATTCTATTTTAATGTAACGTTCCTTTAACAAATTATTGTTCTTTCTTGTAGCCTCACCTACAACGGTTTCTCCAATGGCTACAAGTAATCTGATTGTGACTTCTGCAGCAACTCCTTCCAAAATGTATGTTAAATACATAACAGATATGTTTCAAGTACACTTAAAAGCTCTTTATTGATCTTCATTCAAAATTAATCAATATGATGATTTTTCCCTTCCAGTTCTACTTCTGCAGTGGTCTACAGCAGGATGGTGTTCAACTCCTCCTCTCCTGTCCCCACTGAGAGTTTGGTCCTCAATGCTACCAACACTTTGCTCAACTCTCGACGTGCAAACCTCAGTGATTCCATTAAAGTGCTGAACGTCACCTATGAGAGTATGTTTTCCTTTCTAATTTAATTTCACTGTTACAACTGTGTCCAACATTGTGCCACCGTTCTAAAAACCCTTCTGTAATCCACCAAACTAAGAAAAACTATTCGATATTTTCCACAGAAATTTCAGAAACTTCCTATGCAGTCATCTTCACGTTCAACATCAGTGATATCAGCATGCCTGAGAGCACTGTCCTCATGAATGACACATACATCCAAGTGAAGAACTCTGTCAACATCGCTGTGAGTCAATTTCACTATACAAATTTTTCGATGTTGCGGCCTAACTCGCGTCAGAATGAGGTTTTTTTTTTCTTGATTGATCTTGTTCCTGAATCCACATTTTCTACTGATCCGTTTCAGAACTGTGGCTTGACTAATTTAAGCTATATTATTAATTTTCATATTAATAATTACTTTTCTTATGCATTTTTGTTGAGCAATTTGACATGCTCTGCGTATCACACAACAGGGAGACAGAGAATATGTCATGATAATTTTAAAATGCAAGATTTGTGTATCTCAGTATTTTATATGTAACTAAATTGAAAATGTATTTGAGATTAGGGCAACATTGATTTGATAGTCAATTGATTCACTTAAATACCTTTTATTGTTAAATAAAATGTGTTATTAGAACTTAAACCCTTTGTTTCTGTCTCCAGCTAAACACACTGCTTAATGAACCTAGTGCAGATCTGTTTGAACCCCAGAGATCTGACTTCAGGTTAGTTCACAACAGAAACCATTTATTTTGTGAAATTTTTAACTTTCATGCCTTTGTGCAATAAATGGTGTTGTAATTATATTTCCTTTCATTTTCTTGAACCAGAATGTTAGCAAACCAGGTTGAAGGTAACATGGAATACAGCTTCCAAGAAGGAGACACCAAAACACCAATCACCTTCCTTAATGAGCTCAAGACACAGAGTGGTACGTTTAGTCACAGTATTGTGTATCTTAGCTCCTCTATTCCTTTTAATTGATAGTTTTTATTCTATTTTAATGTAACGTTCCTTTAACAAATTATTGTTCTTTCTTGTAGCCTCACCTACAACGGTTTCTCCAATGGCTACAAGTAATCTGATTGTGACTTCTGCAGCAACTCCTTCCAAAATGTATGTTAAATACATAACAGATATGTTTCAAGTACACTTAAAAACTCTTTATTGATCTTCATTCAAAATTAATCAATATGATGATTTTTCCCTTCCAGTTCTACTTCTGCAGTGGTCTACAGCAGGATGGTGTTCAACTCCTCCTCTCCTGTCCCCACTGAGAGTTTGGTCCTCAATGCTACCAACACTTTGCTCAACTCTCGACGTGCAAACCTCAGTGATTCCATTAAAGTGCTGAACGTCACCTATGAGAGTATGTTTTCCTTTCTAATTTAATTTCACTGTTACAACTGTGTCCAACATCGTGCCACCGTTCTAAAAACCCTTCTGTAATCCACCAAACTAAGAAAAACTTTCGATATTTTCCACAGAAATTTCAGAAACTTCCTATGCAGTCATCTTCACGTTCAACATCAGTGATATCAGCATGCCTGAGAGCACTGTCCTCATGAATGACACATACACCCAAGTGAAGAACTCTGTCAACATCGCTGTGAGTCAATTTCACTATACAAATTTTTCGATGTTGCGGCCTAACTCGCGTCAGAATGAGGTTTTTTTTTTCTTGATTGATCTTGTTCCTGAATCCACATATTCTACTGATCCGTTTCAGAACTGTGGCTTGACTAATTTAAGCTATATTATTAATTTTCATATTAATAATTACTTTTCTTATGCATTTTTGTTGAGCAATTTGACATGCTCTGCGTATCACACAACAGGGAGACAGAGAATATGTCATGATAATTTTAAAATGCAAGATTTGTGTATCTCAGTATTTTATATGTAACTAAATTGAAAATGTATTTGAGATTAGGGCAACATTGATTTGATAGTCAATTGATTCACTTAAATACCTTTTATTGTTAAATAAAATGTGTTATTAGAACTTAAACCCTTTGTTTCTGTCTCCAGCTAAACACACTGCTTAATGAACCTAGTGCAGATCTGTTTGAACCCCAGAGATCTGACTTCAGGTTAGTTCACAACAGAAACCATTTATTTTGTGAAATTTTTAACTTTCATGCCTTTGTGCAATAAATGGTGTTGTAATTATATTTCCTTTCATTTTCTTGAACCAGAATGTTAGCAAACCAGGTTGAAGGTAACATGGAATACAGCTTCCAAGAAGGAGACACCAAAACACCAATCACCTTCCTTAATAAGCTCAAGACACAGAGTGGTACGTTTAGTCACAGTATTGTGTATCTTAGCTCCTCTATTCCTTTTAATTGATAGTTTTTATTCTATTTTAATGTAACGTTCCTTTAACAAATTATTGTTCTTTCTTGTAGCCTCACCTACAACGGTTTCTCCAATGGCTACAAGTAATCTGATTGTGACTTCTGCAGCAACTCCTTCCAAAATGTATGTTAAATCCATAACAGATATGTGTAAAGTTCAGTTAAAAACTCTTTATTGATCTTCATTCAAAATTAATCAATATGATGATTTTTCCCTTCCAGTTCTACTTCTGCAGTGGTCTACAGCAGGCTGGTGTTCAACTCCTCCTCTCCTGTCCCCACTGAGAGTTTGGTCCTCAATGCTACCAACACTTTGCTCAACTCTCGACGTGCAAACCTCAGTGATTCTACTAAAGTGCTGAACGTCACCTATGAGAGTATGTTTTCCTCTCTAATTTAACTACACTGTTACAACTGTGTCCAACATTGTACCACCATTCTAAAAAACATTCTGTAATCCACCAAACTAAAAACTATTCGATATTTTCCACAGAAATTTCAGAAACTTCCTATGCAGTCATCTTCACATTCAACGTCAGTAATATCAGCATGCCTGAGAGCACTGTCCTCATGAACGACACATACACCCAAGTGAAGAACTCTGTCAACATCGCTGTGAGTCTACATCATTACACATTTTTCCAATGTTGGGGCCTAAATCACCTCAGAATGAGGGTGTAGTTTATTTCTGATTGATCTTGTTCTTGCTTCGACATATCTTACTGATCCGTTTAAGACTTGTGGCACAACTAATCTAATAATTAGTTTTCTAATGCATATTACTGAGCAATTTGACAAGCTCTGTGTATCACTCAAAAAATGATACATGGAATAAATCATGATCATTTTTAAATGCAAGATTTTATTAGATTGTCAACTGGTTAATTTAAATACTTTTTATTGTTTAATAAAATGTGTTGTTAGAACTCTATATTTCTGTCTCCAGCTAAACACATTGCTTAATGAACCTGGTGCAGATCTGTTTGAACCCCAGAGATCTGACTTCAGGTTAGTTCGCAACAGAATTGATTTATGTTCTGAAATTTCTAACTTTCGTTTTTATTGTGCAGTAAACAGTGTTATAATTATATTTCTGTCATTTGCTTTGAACAGAATGTTAGCAAACCAAGTTGAAAGTAACATGGAGTACAGCTTCCAAGATGGAGACACCAAAACACCAATCAGTTTCCTCAATGAGCTCAAGACACAGAGTGGTGAGTTAAAATACAATATCTTTATCTCAATAGGTCTCTTACATTTAGTTTTTATTTAAAGTTTTATAGAATTCACCTATTACTCATTCTTAATCTGTTTCTGCCTTATTCACAGATATTTTTACTTACGGTATGTTTTGTATTAATATATTTCAAATATGTTTATAGGTGACACACCCACCGTGCCCCCCACAGCAAGCACAGCTTTGCAGAGCACAACAGTTCTAACTCCGGAGATTATGACAACTTCAGTTCTGGAGAAAACTACATCTACAATTATGGAGATCACAACATCTCCCACTCTGGAGATCACGACAGCTCCAACTCTGGAGATCACAACAGCTTCACCTCAGCAGATCACAGCAGCTCCAACTTTGTAAGTGTAAATAATTACGTTAAATAAAAAACTTCACTATGTGTTGTGCATGTATGTTTTCTCACATGTGTGTCTGTTTTCTTCATTCCATTACATTAATGATATACTGTATTTTAAGTGTGATATAATTGTGAGATCATTTTCAGTGGAATGACACAATGTTACCAAATGTGATTGTTCTCTTCATCACCATCTCATTCTCCATTTCTCCATGTAATATAGAAATCTTACCTTCTGTCCTTTTCCAGAATGGGGAGTGTGCTGATTTATATCCGCTTGGTGTTTAAGAACCTGACCACTCTACCCAGTGAGGCAGAGGTTCTTAATGCTGCTAATACTCTGCTGGACTCAGGTGTCAGAATGAAGCGAGATGTCAGCACACAAAAACTGAATAACCCAGTTAGCATCCAGAATGTCACCTATCAAAGTGAGTTTCCTTTCTGGATTAGAGTGTCAACTTTGTAGTAAATTTAAAATGTTGTTTTTCTGCTGAGAGCCCACATATTCACCTAAGAAATGGCCTTAAACAGCTAATTCAATATTAGAAATAGTCAAATTTAACATTTGTTTGTAATCTGTTAAATAACTCCATTTTCTTTTTAGAAACGAGCAGCAACTCATACACTATCAGCTTTGCTTTCAAAATCAGCAATGTGAGCATTTCTAAGAACATTGAACTGAGGAATGAAACATATGATGCAATCCAAAACACCATTAATGGCCTGGTGAGTGTCAGACTCTTCCTCTAGCCTAAATCTGTGAGCAAAACAAAAAACGTTCCTATTCTGAACCTATTCTTTTTGAAATATACACAAATTATACTTTGTAGCTCATAACTGATTTTTATTTTATCTTCAGCTGAACAAAATACTAAATGACCCAAATGCTACACCATTTGTCTTCCAACGAGCAAACTACACGTAAGTAATAATTCAACATTTACGGAATTGAATCTGTCAGCAAACATGAACTGAGAATGTTCACAGACAATATTAAATGACTCATTTCACTTGGTTTCTTTGTTCTTTCTAGGGGTAATGATACTGTGATTCAGGCTGATGCAGAATACATCTTTATGGAAGGAGATATCAAGACACCAAGTGGATTTCTGAAGGAAATACTCAAAATTAGTGGATTAGCTGGAGGAGGGTTTCCAGGTTGGGCCCTAGCCATCATTATCCCCTGTGGTATAGCCATCATTCTTGTACCCTGCTGGATTATACTCTGTGTAAGTTCTTCAAGAGTGCTTGCATTTTAAATAAAAGCAGTTAGTAACTGAAAGGGTTAGATAAAAAAAAGATTTGATTAAAACATTTAATGGAAAGCACTGTTAGTATAAGGAAACTGCTAAAAAAATAATAATATAAAGATGTTTTAGTTGAATATCTCATAAATTCATTCCAGACATTTACTTCATCTTTCCTTGGAAGGAATCAAACTGCGACATTTTCCAGAGAGTAAAAAATCATGTGTGGAAGCACTTTAAATGATTGGACTCCCTTTCTAATTAAAAAGCAGGTTTAAAACTTGACAGCACAAACAACAGATCTGTTTATTTCTGCAAAATTATAATCAAAAGTTTTTACCACTGTGTCAGAGAAGACTCTCCTCCACACACTATTAGTATGGCACAGGAGCGGCACTGCAACTAGTACACCAAAAAGATCATCAAATTTTAACTTAGCTTCAATTTAGTTTATAACATCGAAAGTAAAATGAAGTTCACACTTGCACAAGTGGAAAAAAAATACACTCTACATTGGGGTGGGCAACACAGCAAAAACATAATATCATGAAACCTAAAGATATTTCATGAGACAGACAAGAAGCCCCAGTATTTTTACATTAAATATAATACTTTATAAAACTATGACAAAGAATACTATAAAAAAAAAATTCATGTGTTGCGCTGCAATAAATCCAATTAAATATGATTATTTATGCTCTCTATTTAATGACACATGCAGACGGAATAGATCATGATAATGATAAAATATCAGCGTGGATGAAAACTCTGATGCATTCATTAAAATGGAAGTTTATCTTTTCTGTTTGACAACCGACTAAAAATGCTTAAAATTTGATTGATTTTTTGGGTGATTTTGAGAATGAGTAATTGGATACTTGTTCAACAATATCGATGAGTATTCAGTAAGCCTGAGTAAGAATGAAAATGCTGTTAGGGCCAGTTAGTGATTAATGCATTATATAACACTTTAATTATAAATGATAAGCATAATATATAAATAATATATACATAGTATTCTTAATATTTTTAATGTTTTTTTCCTGCAGATAATGCTTTCTGGTTGCTGTGGAGCCGTTCGAAGGCGCTGGCATAGACGGCGGTCATACAACGTGCAGTATCCAATACACAACAGCCTCTTCTAAAGAACGAGTTCATCACGTAACAACACCTTACATAAATTTAAAGCCTGTTATGGTGAATAAATACCAGTTCTGTAAAAATATCTATATGTTTACTTCTATACTATCTGGAGTAATATGGTGAATGTTAAAAATTTGGTTCTGTACATCTGTAGTGTATCTCTTTAATTTCTTGTAAGTGTTTTAGTAAATGTTATGTTTTGTGCCTGTATTGCTGGATTTATACAGGATGTATGTTACATTTTCAGAGAAATATAATTTAATGAATGTATAAAATCATGAACATTTTTTCATTTATTTAATTAATTTATTTTCCAGTATCAGTATTTCATGTTAATTTATTAATTAAATCAAAATTTTGTACTACACATTTCATTCCAAACAGAGGGAAATGTCTGAAGTACTGTTATTTATTTATATTGCACTTTATCTACATGGCGACAACAAATTAATTTGATTACTTTTCTATGTATTATGAAATGAGAGTCACTGTTCTCAAAAACATTCTTCTCTTTATATCATTAAAATGAGTATTTATCACTAATTTTGATGTTTTTTGTACTTTCTGCATTGTATGCATTTCTCCACCAATTTTTAAATTGGTAAATTTAAAAGCATTACGGAAGATCTAATCATAATTGTCAGTTTTGATGATTTTTCAAGATTGACAAGATTAACAACTAAGAATTGCCACAATGATCAACAATTACAGTTATTTTACGATTATCATGCATAACGTATTTTTTCATTATAATTAAATTTTTAAAAACATTCAGCTTAGCATATGAGTTCAACTGGTGCACAAATTGCTCTATAAGTATCAAAACACTGTAGAATCATCTCAAAATTATTCCATTAAAAGACTAGATGTTCTGGAAAAAAGATACATTTTCAATCACAGAACTAATAAGCCTATCTAAGAAATACTAACAACAGTTAAGATTAAAGTAGATGCATTGTTTTTGTAAATCTATTAAGTAGTAAAGACTTAAACCGTATTTTGTTTCGTATTGTAATTATTATTATATATTTTTTTTTGGTACATCATGTAAATGATTTTTTTTTAACAGCTCATTACATCACCAGGAAACCTTTACATACGTTACAAAAAAGAATGGTGCCTACAGTCTACTGTATAGGAACCAATGCAGTGATAGACACCAGGATATACTTTACAAAATCTAGCAAACATTAACTGCCTAATATGAGTATTACTCCAATCGCAAGTTTTTTCTTCAGGGTTGTTTTTTTTTTTGTATTTATTTTTTTTATTTATAATTTATAACTGTTTTTTTTTATTTATAACTGTTGTGCACCTTTTTTTCATTTGTTCCTTTCCCCATCCCTCCATTCTTCCATAAACTGCTATTACTCTTCCATAAACTGATTTGAGTCCAGCTATACTGTTTGCTTAATTAATCATTTACCTATTTATTTATGTTTATTTTTAGCTGAAAATGTGTTAAAACCTACACTAAATCAAATGATAGTTTCAAATTGATTTCATTTCTTTTACCCCTTCCTCCCTCTTTCTCTCTCTCTTTCTCTGTTTTTGCTTGTTTCTTAGCATCTCTGTCCTCACTGATTACTGAAAAAGCACAAATTAAACATACGTTATAAAAGGTTGTTTCTACCAAACCCTAGCTAACGAGAAAGGCAACATACAGTTACTGAGACAAAATACAGCCTAACGTTAACATACCTGCTGATTTCTTAATAATGTTAACTGCTTGATACTATACCATAAATATGCTAGTTAACAGTGAACTTTCTTATGCTGGCTATAGTATGTTATTTGTAGGTAACACAGTAATGTTACAACTTTAATTTCTCATCTAATCACTACTGACAACGGAGCCTGTAGCCTGAACTGAGCAGCTACTGGAATTAGAATAAACATGCTAATTCAGCCAGCAACATTGGGAGCAGTTCAAACAAAAAAATGAAATATAGGGGTTTGCATGTTAATTGCGCTCATAAACTCTACATTTTTACCACAGCAATGTTATATGTTAACCTACAGCATGTGTGCTGCATACCTGAACATCTCAAGAAGTCAAAGTTACACTTGTTCTCAGGGCACTGTAGAGATAAACAGAGCGGGCAGTAAAGTATAAGGCAGTTCTGAGGTCAGCTGAGAACCAGTGACTGCTCATTGGGCAGTTACATCGCTTTGTCCACACTGAATCTAATAAAACCTTCAGATATTTCTGAAGACCTCTGTGTCCTAGTTCTAGTTACGAACATGACGCTGATTACGTACTGAAGCCATCAGCAACTATTGCTAAGCAGTGATTGGAGGGTTGAGGAAAATAAAGTGGAGCTTGGCAGATTTTGATTGGCCATAACGCAGTGACAGTGCTCATAGAAAACAAATCAAATTTTATATCATAAAAAATGACGCATAATAAATATTTTTTCCCATTTGGGTAGGTCTGTGGCACTGTGGCTGACTACCCAAGTAAACTACCACAACAAGGGCGCTTATTCCACATTTAATGTCATGAATGGATAAAAGTGGAAAAAAAACAGACCTCGGTGTCCTCATAGCTAGTTACGGCAATGCAGTAAATGCTTTGTTTACCTGCTTTGCAGCATTTGGCTACACATTCTCATCCACATCATACCTAATTTCCTCTTTCGCTCATATACAATGCTGGGCCCACAATGGACCATCTTCAAAGTAACTCCAGAAGTGATCCCTTCTTACAGAAGGATAACACTTAAGCTTAGATGGTAATCAGTTGTGATAACCAAATTTAAATTATCCCATGGGTTTAATGGGTGTCTGCCTGTAGCCCAAGCCACTTGTTACTGTGTTACAGTCAATCACAATCCTGACTCTTTTCTTCTCTGAAAGTTTGCTTAATTTCTTTTACAATCATTGGTTTAGCAATCAGTCTTATGTCCTCCATTACCTTACTTTAAGCAGTAAGCTCGCAAATTTTGAAACTCCAGATATTCAAAAAATGCCTATGGATTTAGCTATGGCCTTTTGTGACACAGATAGGCCTTATGGCAGCACTGGTGGCAGTGTGTTCAATAGATAGTATTGGACTGATGTCATACTTGTTGCCACTTCCATATTGTCAACATACCACCAATAAAAAATAGCCATGGTTTGTTGCATGGTTCATGGTTAGAGTAACAACAGCAATGAAAAACAAAACGCTGTAAGCTTTTTACAGTATCCTGGCATTCTGATGACGTGAGGGGAAAGAGCCTGAAGAGCTGAGCCAGCGAAAGAGATATCTTTGGATAACGAGAATGAACAGGAAAAACTTTCATTCATCTCCCTATACCAAAGCGTGCTCTCATCATTTGGTCACAGGTAGACAGTTAGGTGAAGGATGAATTCTGTAGTTTTGCCCCTTTCAACACAGGGCAATTCACATTTTCAAGTGTTAAGAATTGTTCTTGATTGACAAATGACACTGATTGATGACTGACTTAGGCAATCTACATATTTATGTCTATACATCTTATGCTTTAGCTAGATAATGCAAAGTACAATGTAACTTAATCTAATATCAAGATAACACTGATTAACCCCATCTTAGATAGTTTGCCATTATTCACTTTCACGATTACAACAACATTTGATGATGTAGCTGATAGTACAAAAGATAGAATATCACCAACCCTGATGATTTTAGTGATTTGTATGCTTTTGGCTCATGCAATGAGTAAGCTGATGCAGTATTTAATTACAGGTGTCTGGATATGCAATCGCAGGTAATAACATAATCGGGACTCAAAGATAACTTATCAGATTTTGTAAGGATCAATACCTCTGACCAAACTGACTTTTTCTTGATATCTTAGTTTGAAAGCCATATCTGGTATTTAACACACATGCTGACAGAGCATAACAATATAGCCAATGGACACTTTTCTAGGTATTGCCTTCAGGGTAACTTTAGTCAGCAGCAGTGAAATGCTGACGCAAAGGTACTTCTCCTCCATATGACAAAGTTTATTCCTTCGTCCCTCCCAATTGCCGAAACCAATTTTATTTCTCCTCCTTGTCAGCTGAGAACCCTTCGAAACTGACATAAAGTTGTTTTGCTGCAATGTAGTTTTACATGATAACAAGAGAAAAAAGGAGAATAAAGGATAAAGGATAGATGAAATCTAATGTACAATAAGAGAGAATGTACAAATCACAAGACAGAAGAAGGTCACAACTAAGTACTTGTCTAACAGTTTTAAACAAAGAATTGTAAACCGCTAAGGTTTTCAGGGCTCTTTTGTTTGTAGATAGTGATATTATATCAATGTACAGTTTCATTTCCTTCTTGAAGATATGAAAATGTGATTTGTTTTTTGTGAATTTGTATTTATAAATATGAAATTGTAATAAATAGTATTACATTTATGAGGAAAAACATTCTTTTTTGTGCTGTTAACATGCATGGCACCCATATAAAATATTTCTGAGGAAAGGGAAAAGTTATGTTAGATATTGCTGCCTATAAAAGTGTTAATTTCTAACAGCAGTCATCAGTCATGATTGGTTAACCTAAATACTTCTGTCCAATTTCTTTTTTTTTTCTTTATATTCAGTACTCACTTCCCACTTTATTAGAAACAACTAGACTGCATTATACCTTTTTTTAAAAAAATCTGAATGGAGATCGAGGAGGACTGGGAGTTCCAGCTGTTGAGTAAAGGACTGAAGTCTCTGGAGTGGCAAATGAACAGAAAACTTGCCTAAAAGCAGCCTGGGACGTCTCCTGTTTTGCTGGTGTGACTGATCTACTGGCCATTCCACAAGTAACATTTAACATTGTCCAACTTGATTAATATTAATGTTAAATCAAAGTGTTCGAGAACAGAAAGTCCTAAAATACCAGGGTGGCCCTTTTAAATGTTAGAGATCTGACTAATAAGACTTTTATTGTAAATTATCTTACATACGAGCTAAAATTAGAAAAGCACTTGGCACCCCAGGATGACCTCTTGCCGTACTCTTTGCCTCTTCTTCTCTGGGCAATGCGTCTTTTCTTTTGCACGCTATACACAACATTCAATTATTATTATTATTATTATTATTATTATTATTATTATTATTATTATTATTATTGTTATTAGTAGTAGTAGTAGTATTGTTCCCCCATTTTAGTGAAGAGAATATAAGTGTATTAGGAATGTATTGCATTCATTAAAAAAAAGCACTGTATACAAATTCTCTAAATGCTTTCTGCTTTTACATTTTCATTACATATCTGCATAAAAAAACATACATAGATGTGTACATTGCATGTACACCTTTTTCAATGTGAATGCAGTCAGATAAGGAATGTCAAGAAGACATCAGATGGGCAGGACATGATAAAAAAATTAGTTTCGTGTGACTATTGACTTAAAGGGTCTGTTAACTTTGCAGCTATAATTCTAAACTAAAGAAACAAAATTTGGACATCAAATAAATACAAGGTACAAGGTCTATCTTTCTACATTCTGTATTTGTTTTTTGTTTGTCAATGTCTTCTACTGTACATCAAACAGTCAGAGAAGGGCACAATTACTGATTATCAGGGACAGTGTTTAACCTGAATTTATTCCAGAGTTTCTTTTCTCACAATGGTTGCCCTTGCTCTGGGAAGGAGAGGCAGGTGTACGGGCACGCCTCAGAATTGTGAATTTCGTACCTCTTTACCATCATTGTTACTTTTCAGTCTGCAATCTTTATGCAACAGAGCGGAAGAACTACTTCTGCTCAACAAAACCAACAAGGACTTTTCAACCTCATCTGCCATCTGTTTTACAGAGATCTGGCTTTCTGATCTGAACCCAGACAGTTAGCTGCACCTTCCCGGCTTCCAGCTGCACAGAGCGGGTCGAGACACATAGATAACCACTAAAACCAAGGGAGGAGGAATCTGCTTCTATGTCAACAAATGCTTGTGTAAAGACATCATGGTACTGTTAAAATCATGCAGTCCCTATCTAGAGTTACTTTTTTATTTTCATATTGCTGCTAACATAACATCAGTTTGGGAAGGCCTATGAGAGATCACCAACTACAAAGTAAGAAAAACCTCCCTTCTCCTGAATGACTGCCAGTTCACCAACGAACTGAATGAGTTCTACTGCAGTTTAGAATAAACAAAGGATAATCATCAGCCTTTTTCTCCTAGTCCCCTGCCATCTCCCTTGACCCTGGCTCTCTCACTATCATTGAGCAGGATGTCAACAGACTCTTCAGTAGACAAAGGTGAGAAAAGCTTCAGATCCTGATTTAGCCTCTCCATCCACCCTCAAGCTCTGCTGTCATCAACTAGCACTAGTTGTTCCCTGTTACTTCAAAACCTCTAACATTGTTCCAGTCCCAAAAAAACAAACATTACTGAACTAAAGGACTACAGGCCAGTCACTCTGCCTTATGTAGTTTTGAAGGTTTCTGAACACCTGGTCTTAGCCCACCTGAAGGCTATTACAAACCCTCTGCTGGATCCCCTGCAGTTTGCATACAGAGCAAACAGGTCTGTTCATGATGCTGTCACACTTCCTACAACAGCATCTCAACAGTCTTGGAACCTACGCTAGAGGTCTGTTTGTGGACTTAGATTCAACACTATAGTGTCAGAGCTGCTGCAGGTCAAACTGTCCCAGCTGTCTGTTCCATCTGCCAGTGGATCATGGATTTCCTGACAAATAGGAGACAGCAGGTGCAGCTTATGAAGATGAGTACTGGAGGGTCCAAAGTTGTGTGTTTTTACTGCTTTTCTTCAGTCTCTACACCAATGACTGCATCTCCAAAGAACCAGCTGTGAAGATGAGACCTCTGTGGTGGGCCTCACAGCCGGTGGTGATGAGTCTGTCTACAGAAAGGAGGTTGAGTAGCTGGTCTCCTGTTGCAGCAGCAATCATCTGCTGCTGAACATGCAAAGACTGTAGAGATGGTGGTAAACTTCAGTCGCACCCCCCCCTCTCCCTACCCAGCCTCGACATCAATGGCTCTGTGGAACAGGAACACTGTCTCCGTAGCCAGAAGGGCCCATCCTCACATTATTCAAAACCATCTGGTTTGGTTCCTCCACCTCACAAGAATGATCCAAACTCCAGGGCATATTTTTTCATATTCTTTATTCTATTTATTGTATTTTTATTTTGTTTGTCCCTTAGTTAAATATTTGTTAACAGTCTGTGTGCTTGTCTGGTGTGTTCAGTATGTTACATGTCATACATGTGTGCACACACCAAGACACACTGTATAACATACTTGGCAAAATAAATTGATTTTGATATCTTGGATGATCAACTGCATTTGTGGTACGTGGATGATCATGTAAATTTGAATTTTTGCTATTCCTTTAAACTATTCTTTTAAAGGGAATAAGAGGAGTGCATCTGATTGTCTCTTGCTGCACATCTAACCATGCCTTTTGATAATCTATTTGCTCTAACTCCGCCACTGTTTACAGTTGCGCTGCCCTGTGCTGAAAATTTATACTTTATTTTTCCACTTGCACTACGACCACAAATATAGACCCCATGGTCTTCTACTTACCTTTAACTTTCTTTTCGTTTTTACCTTCATTTTCTTTTTTTTTTGCCTCTGCGGTAAAATGGATTCCTTGAAGGTTTTTGTATACCTTCAGACTGAATTTTCTCTTTTTTGTTGAATCTCAGGTTAGCATCTCAGCTGGTCTGGTGCTGGTTTAGTTGGTTACTCAGCATGGTCATGTTGGTTGACCTGCACACAACATATGCTTGTTATGGCAGTGTCTACCTTAACAGCTCCTACTGTCTGTCAAACATACCAGCATCCAAAACACAACACATGCTGGTTTTGCTGATGCATTCATGTTTTTCCAGCAGAGGATGAAGCTTAGCTTTATCTTGAGATAATGAGCATGTCGTCTGGTCTTTCAAATTTATATTTAGGTATATCTGTCTCAATATTCTTTACTTTTAACAGTTGTCATAACAAAAAGTTCATTTAAGAACTCATATTTGTACGGCTCATTATTTCTACCAAGCCCACTCACTTTAATCACTGGCTCATCCAATTACTGTTCAATTTGCTTTCAATATTATAATATTAAAATGTGCTCATTAAAATATTCTTAATTACATGTTTGACATCTACCAGTCAAAATTCCAGTTTAACCACTAACTGTAAACCATTTGTTAAGTATCGCTCCTGAGCCACCAACACACTCTCAAACACCCAGCCATAGTTTACCGTGTTTAAATAGGCACTAAATCCCATCACTCTGGTACAAGAAGTATAATTCCACATTAGCAGTGATACTGTCAGCATTTTGCAGGTAAAGGCGGAGAGGACTTTTATGTGGATTTAATTTGATTTGATTTGGAAACACATGAACATGACTTGTTTTAAGCATGAAATTAGCTGAGCACATGATATAGCATTCGAAAAACACAGAAAACTTGTTACCCAAATCTGAACATTCAATTATAATTGAGCTGTTAACATAAATGACAGAAATAATCAGCAAATATGTTGGACATCATGCCGTGGACTATGCTGCTGCAAATAGTTTAGGAAATGTGGCCATGCAAACATGGGTTAAAAAGGTACTATTGCTGCTGCTGCTATTGTTGTTGATGCTATTACTTTTCTTCTACACTGACACCACTATATACACTTTGTTTATTGTAGCCTGTACCTCCATCCAGTAAAAGGTTTGGCCCACTGCAGAGTTATTGTGCCCATCCAAAACAGCAGTACTCGCAACTCTACTAACTGATATTTATTTTATTCATAACAAATGCAATTAACAATCAGTTTGAGCAGCTGGATTTAATGTATGAAAAAAATATATTAATATTGTTTATAAATAATAACATTAATTCTAACCACAAATACAAATGATTACGACATATTTATTTCATCCTTGTGAGACGTAATTCTCCTGACACAAAGATTGAATCAACACTTTGGAGTTCAGAGGTCTTTTATTTTGAAAAATATCCAGGCGGAAATGGGGAATTAGCATCGTTACCTGATTTAAAATCGGCAGCTTCACCTTTTAAGGTTTTTATTCTTAATGTAAGCTGTTCAACTGTTTATATCCTTGTATCCTTATCTGCATTAAATTTAGGTTTCAGGGGAAGGTCATTAAATAAAACCCCCCCTGCTGCAGAATTATGGCGAGTATTTTAGGCTTTCAGACTCAGATCGCCTCTGTTATGGAGGTTTTCGCGAACGCTGCTGTAGCGGAGATCTGTAAACTGGTGGAGATGAACTACAGTCAGTTACAGATAGAGATATTAAAAAGCCAGAAGGAGAATAATATACTCAAACGAAAGCTAAAGATGATCGAAATCCGGGAGGCGTTTTATAAAAGAGCCCATAAAATGAAAGGTCCTGACGGTAAAGTATCAGGTAAGAAAATAATTATGACACGGAAGAGCTTTGTTATTTTTATTATTAAAAAATCTGTAGTAGTTGTAAAATATTCCTGTGTTTCTGTCGTTTAGTAACGTGTAATATTTGTAGTATAATAAACTATAGGGTAGTAAACTATCGTAATTGTCTGTATAATATTCCTGTAGTGCTCTTTTAGTAATCTGCAGGGTAAATTGGTAAAATGCCCCACCTTAGTTTCTCGTATGAGCAAATGTGGGGCTAAATCCAATCTCGACACCTTTACTGAATGGCTGTCCAATTAATCCGGAAATAACATCCTGATGACCACATTCCTGACATTCCTGGAATGTATTGGCACAAATTTTTGGGGATCAGCTGATCTATTTTTTCATCATTGGATAATAATTATCAGTGCATTCATACCAACTTGTACGATAAAAATGAATACTACACAGGTTACACGGAGAATAATACATTAGGTTTTGACAGGAAAAAAGATGGAAAAGTGAAATTGTAAACTTAGCTTTGTACTGCCCCTAGACATGGCAAAAAGCACTTTTTCCCCTTAACATACCACTCCAGAAATACTGTCTGTAGTTAGATTTTTTATCATAAAGGCACAAAGTTGTTCACTGGAGTTTTGGGGTTTTACACACCAGTTCTGCTTTGTCATGGTGCTCTAATCATCTGTATATACTGATTAAATATTTAATGCTATTGCTTTGTTTAAATTGTTATTGTTCTTATTGTGTTTAAAATGACAATAAGAAGTAGAAGAAGAAAAAGAGGACCATTAAATTAATTTACATTATATCACTGTACAATTAAGCTAGTCACAATAACATATTTAATTAAAGAACAAAATTGACATTTCAGATGTTTCTATTTTGCTGTCTGTTGTCTTTTGTTACTTTGTCATTTTAAGCAGCATCATTAAGACATGAACTTCTAAAGTCCTCAGTTTTGTTTTAAAAATATAATAATTTTAGTGCTGTACTTTGAATAACAACACACTTTTTTAAACATGCAAAGACTAGATATCATTTGATGTAAATAATGCATTCAGTATTTCTTATTTCATATTTACAGTTCTTATAAATATGACAAATTGAGGTTCCCAATTAGCAAGCCCCAGTAGGGGGCATCCAGCCCCAGTAGGGGGGCAAGGCACCTTTTTCATTTTTGGGCTATAAATAAAAAGCGGTCTGCTTTTCCATTTTATTTCCCTTGTGTGTAGGTTTATACATCATTATCCTGTACATGCTAAACTCATGCAGATATATGGTTTAACAGTAGATGAACACTGAGCCTCATTCTCCAACCACTCTTAAGAAGAAATTTCTTCTTAAAACCCACTTATGCAGTTTTCAGACATTCATTTACCAGTGTTTTCTTACTTGGGATTTGTTCTTAGGTAAGAACAGAATCTGCACACACTCAGGAGCACAAAGGTGCAAACAAATCTGTGGTTTAAGAACACGCCATGAATCTGATAAAGACTTTTTCTTAGGACCTTTCTCCAGAACAAATTTAGAAAAAAAGTTTAGCAAGAAATTGGTGAATGAGGCCCACTGTTCTTAAAGGGGGCATTTTCCCCCTTTTCACCTAATACTTGTATACTATCCTATAATAATCTTTTTCTTAGTAATTAAGTTGTTTTTTCCATAGCCAATTTACTGTACTTCGTTATCTTTTTCTTATTATTAAATTGGCTTGATGGAAACATATAGTCTACCCTATTGTTTTGTGCTCAAATTTACACTCTTACTCCACCTACAGCTTTCAGAACTTTCTAGAACTGCAGAATTTTGTAGAATAATAGAGCCTGTACTCAAATAGTGGGATTGTGTTTTTGAATCATTCAGGTGTATGGTTTCATAGCAACAGCCTTGCACCACTTGGGACACTATAGCCACTGCTTAGCAACACCTTAGCAACCATCTGGGATACCATAGCAGTGGTCAGGCAACACCTTAGTAACGACCTGGGATGCTACAGCAACGGTATGGTTTACCAGGTCATTACTAAGGTGTTGCTAGACTACCTTAGCAACTACGTTGAATACCATTGCAACTGCTTAGCAGCACCTTAGCAACCACTTGATGTACTATAGCAATGGCCAAGCAGCACCTTAGCAACCACTTGGTGTACTACAGCAATGGCCAGGCAACACCTTAGCGAGCACTTTAGATACCATAGCAACAACCGTGCCATTACTATGGTATCCCAGGTGATTGCTGAAGTATTGCCAGGCCATTGCTATGGTATCCCAGAAGGCTGCCCTAGGATACCATAACAATGGCTTTGTCAAGCCAACTTAAAGTTTGTTCACAAACTTTCTCTTCTAGTTGTGTATAATAATCTGTAATATTTTCTTCTCTGTATAATATTCCCAGAGTGCTGTGTTCTAGTCCTGTATGTTAAATCTGTAGTATTCTGTTGTAAACTAAAGTAAGTGCCTGTAAAAGTCTATAATATTTTATCCTCTATAATATTCCAATAAATGTTTATAAAACTTGTGTAGTATCCTGTAGTAAACTGTAGTACCTCAAGTAATCTGAATTTACTCTAAAATTCTTTAAGGAATCCTGTAGAAATTCCTGAAGCAGTATGGTATTTTTCATAAAGCAGGGTCTCTCTGTCTCAGCCAGATTACTTAAACCAGAAGTGAAGCCTAGGAGAAGAAGGATTTAAGTGTTGGACGATCTACACTTTTGGCTTAAGTTATCTAGCTCACTGAGAAATCTTGCTTTGTGAAATATAATGAAATACTTTTCCAGTCAGGTATAAAAATGTACAACCCCATTTCTAAAGACGTTGGGACACTGTACAGAATGTAAATAACAATAGAATGCAATGATTTGCAAATCATGTAAACCATATTGTTAAAGGAAAATACTATAAAGACAACATATCAAATGTTGAAACTGAGAAATTTTATTGTTTGCTGAAAAATATGGGACGGGGGCATGTTTACCACTGTGTTTCATCACCTCGTCTTATAACAACACTGTAAGCATTTGGGAATTGAGGAGACCAACTGCTGTAGTTTTGAAAGTGAAATGTTTTCTCATTCTTGTTTGATATAGGATTTCAGCTGCTCAACAATTCGGGACCTTATTTGTTGTATTTTTCATTTCATAATGCACAAAATGTTATCAGTGGGTGACAGATCTGGACTGCAGGCAGGTCAGTTTAGCACCCAGACTCTTTTAATATGGAGCAGTGATGTTGTAATACATGTAGAATGTGGTTTGGTATTGTCTTGCTGAAATAAACAAGGCCTTCCCTGAAAAAGACGTCATCTGGATGGCAGCATATGTTGCCAAAACATGTATATATCGTTCAGCATTAATGGTGCCTTCACAGATGTGCACGTCATTCATGCCATGTGCACTAATGCAGCCCTATACCATCATGAATACTGACTTATGAACTGGGCACTGATAACAAGCTGAGTGATCTTTAGCCCGGAGGACACAGCGTCCATGATTTCCAAAACAAATTTCTAATTTTTATTTGTCAGATCACAGGACACTTCCACTTCCCCTCAGTCCATTTTAAATGAGAAGGTGGCAGCGTTTCTGAATCCTATTTAAATATGGTTTCTTCTTTGTATTTTAGAGCTTTAACTTGCATTTGTGGATGCAGCACCGAACTGTGTTCACAGTGGTTTTCAGAAGTGTTCCTGAGCCCATGCAGTGATTTTCTCTACAGAATCATGTTTTAATGCAGTCCCGCATGAGGGCCCAAAGATCATGACCAGCAAATACTGGTTTCTGGCCTTGTCCCTTGCATACAGAGATTTCTCCAGATTCTCTGAATCCTTTAATGCTATTATGTAGCGTAGTGTTTTACATTCAGAAATGTTATTCTCAAATTGTTGCACTGTTTGACTATGCAGTCTTTCACAGAGTGATGAACCCCTCCTCATCTTTACATCTGAAAGACTCATCCTTTCTGGCATGTTTTTTTTATGGTTGTATAAAGTGATATAGTTTAATTAGGTTCACTGATTATTAATCTGCTTAATCACATTTTTTCCTAGGTACAGTTGTCTGCCTTGTTTTGAAAAAGTTAATGAAAATAGTTTAAAAATATAAGTATTAGAAATATATAGTTTTATTATTAGTCACAATTGCTCCTGTGTGCAAAACAGTATTAAATAAAACCCAATTACACAAGAGCTTAAAAAAGAAAAATAATTGAATTGATATAGAGTTACCCAATGTTTAAAAAAATGAAGCAGTACACCGACATAATGATGGACATGCTGCATATAGTCTTTATGGAGTCACTGCATTTGAGCTTGTCCAAAACTTCAGACAAATTCAAGCTATGTGAAAGTAAACGATTAATATTGAGGATTATCAACAGCAAATATGAGCCTCTGCGTTACTGTGACCTTTTACATGCTTGCATCTCCTGTAAATATGATATGAATGTAGAAGTGCAATCTTATTAAAATATTAAAAACAGAACTTTTAAAGATAATTAATTTATAGTTATACTTCAGTAAAAACTGAATTCTTTTAAAGCTTTAGAAAGCCTTACAAACTCAAAAACAATTGTGACCTTTAACTGTGTATTTATTAAGTTGTTGTGTGTTTGTGTATGTCTGTGCAGGGCGAATGGTCCGCGTAAAGATTAGACCTTTGGATAACCGGCACACCAGTGAAGGTGTAGAGACTCCCAGTGCACCAGAGGGTTTAGTTCCACCTTCTACTCAGGAGGTGTGTTATACCTACTGAGCCCCCACCAGGTCATAGATATAGAAAGCTTTCTGTGTTTTATTTTGAATTACTGCTAGTCTAATTGCTTGAAACAAAGTGCATTATATCTGATTTCACCATCAGCATCAATGTATTTAGTTTTATGTAATTTTTAGTGAAGGAATCCAGGTGTGCTAAGATTGGCATTTTCTTAAACATACATTAATACAGTGAATTAATCCACTTTGAATCACTAGATTTCAGGAAAACAATTGCTCATCTTAACACTTTCAGGAAAAATGTAACTGTTTGGGATGATGAAATCATATCGGTATTGGCAGATATGTTAAACAAATATTGCTTTTGAAAACATGTTTAGATTTGACCAATGTTTGAAGATGTGTGTGTATATATATATACACTCCAGAAGAGCAAAATGTTTAGGGGCCGCTGGGCTGCTTCATTTTATTCATTTTTACTGCTTTTGGTGCTCTGTAAAATAAACATATTTTATTTGTAATGCTGATCTAATTTTATGTAGCGCTTATGCTACAATTCTCTATAATACAGTTATGTTTCTCAGTCAGTAATCCAAGCGAATATAGCCCTAATTTCTACATTTTATAAATGCAGTGACATAAACAGATATGTACACGAAAATTATTGAATATCAGCATCAGCCCACAGTTCCCATATTGGTGGATCCCTTGTAGTTGTGCCCAATAGATGGTGTGAATATCGTGTCATTGATTCTTCTGATTCTTGTGTATATCATGTACCTAAAATCAGTTTGTGCCTTTCAGCAGTCTTTAACAGAGAGTTTGGAGGATGCAGAGCCTGATGTTCTCATCATTAAGGAAGAGAGAGTAGACAACACAAGAAGGAAAGAATCTGAGCTGGAACAGAGCCTTGGAGATGAACGTAGGTTTTCTTTTTTTTTCTCTACTGTTTGAATGAGATGTTATTTGTCATACATACATTTGTCATGTATACACCCGTGGTGATTCCTATAAGAGACACACGAGAAGCACGTCTTTCTTCATCATAACATGACCAAAATTTCATCATAACATGGCGCTGAAATGGTTAACAAGGCATCTGTATTGCTTGCAACTCATAAGACGATTTAGAATTTTTAGCCTTTCAAAGCATGAAATATCTACTCTATCACTGCACTCTGTTTGCACTGTTTATTTAACGTGAGCTGCGTCTGAGAGACAGTTAAGTCTGCATGAATGTATTTGTGGAAGCAAGTAGAAGTACAGTACATAGAACCCTACTGAAGCCCTGCTACAGTGTGAATTAATGGCAGATCAAATGTGCGCTGTTTTAGTGAAGCAAAGATCAACGCTTATTGGACAGCAGGAAAAAAATGTCATTTTGGGTCCCACCCAGATGCCAGGTTTCACAGGGAATCTATAAAGCTGTCTGGAGTGCTTTTTGCATGTGAAAATTGGACTTAACAGATGTACTTTTGTCCCATCTGGAAGTTTGACTTCTGTATTTCATGATTAGTAGAGCTCTCAAACGGGCGGGATGTTGTAACAAACTGTTAATACAGATACTGTAATGTGCCTGACTGACATTGTCTAAAACTAAAAATAATCTATCATTTAATACATGTGCAGTGATGCAGGGGAGTTCTTCAAAAACTTGCAGGTTTTTGTGTTTTTTTTTTTGTTTGTTTGTTTGTTTTTTCAATCTGGAAAACGTTGTAAATAAATTTTAAATATAAAGTTTGGAGTTTGGACATTTTCTTTTATATGTAAGTTAACTGTTAACAGTAAAGCATTTAGTAACTTTGTTAGTGTGTAATTTAGCAGCTGTAGCTGCTTTTTGAAGCACCAGATAGAAACTGCTAATGTCAACCTCATTTCAGCCAGAAAATAGATTGTCATGCAAACGTTTGGAATCAATGTTTTCAATATAATAAAACTCATTTGGTTGCAGATCAATGCAGAAAATTTCAGAAAATAATTCTAAATAGGTAATTACACAAATGTTTTTGTGTGTAATAGTTTATTATTGTTCCCTAAACATACTTGAAATATTAAGTTAAATATCTATGAATTAAACCTGTCTTTTATAAGTTATTATTGAATATAACATAATTTTGACTTAATATGGCTTCCAAACTTTTGAGCAGTAGTTTTTACACATTAATTTTTTTTTTTTTGGCATTAGATTATGACCACCTCTGGTTCCCCTGTGTTAGAAAGCATCAGCTGCGACTGATGTACACCTTTTCTGCAAGAATACACCATCTTTGTAAATATTTGCACAGCAAAGTCAACTTAGTTGTTGTTTTGTGAGTTCTGTGAATTGAAGATAAACATGAATAGTGCAACATTACAGAATGCACATTTTAATTTCTAGTATTTTAGGCCTATGTGTTTTCTCATTTTGGACTGAAAGCACTTTCTGTGTCTAAACACTCCCCTCTTCATTTTAGGTAAGCATAGTTATTGAGACATTTGTCTGATCTCAGGTTTAAACTGGTTGTAACTGAGCGCACTTCTGTGAAGGTGCAATTAGTTAAGTAATTAATAAAAAGCAGTTCCTAAACATTAAGATTAAAGATGACATATTGGTATTAATGGGTATGGATATAGGTGAAAGATGAAAATCAGCAGAAAATGCTGAATAGAATATTAGAGGGTAAAAAAGAATGAATTCAATGTTGTAACAAATTTATCTTTAAATCGCACACACTCGCACTGTGATTTCATGTTGTTAGCTGAATATTTCTACCTGTGAGATACTAGAGTGAGAGTGTTTGACTAGTTTGATCGTGAAAGCATAGTTTTAGATGCTAATCTTAAGTGTTGTGTAAAAATATCTCATTTTAAAGCTTAATAGTTTTCAAAGAAGAAATATTGGAAAGGATAGTGTAGGCTGATTAATTAAGTTTTTTATATTGTTGTTGGATAAGAATCCAGAGAATTCTCCTAGTATTAACTGATGACACTGTGTATTTATAGCAGTGCTTAACAGTAATGTTTGTGCTGGAGTGAATGCTTGAGGTTAATGTTGTCTGCTTTCTTAGTAATCATGTTTTTTTGTTTTTTTTTTCTAAATAAAGAAAAAAAACAGTACAGGGGTTCTGAGGACAGAGAGAACTTCCTGCCGCAGAACACCATCCAGATGTGTCAACAAGAGGTCAGTGGATGTTTTAGGCCACATTTGACACTAGACAACACATCAGTTGACGATTGACTGTTCTCATACACACAGTCTGCAGTTTGTGTATGTAATGTTGCATGTCTTTATGCTACTGTACACACTCAGATCTTCCACACCCAGATTTTCCCCTTAGGCGTCAATAAGAGGCACTGAAACCAGGTTTATTTATGCCTACTAACTCCAAAGGATTTGGAGTCTGTCAGTTTCCCCAGCTCTCAGCTATCTGAATAATAATACACTAATTTTTCTCATTGAGTGAAAAAGTCCAAGTCCACCTGAGCTTGCTGGTTGTGTTTTGTTGTTCGTTGTGCTTCGTCTGCTGATAGCTTGAAAATTGTTTGGTCCCATCTAACAAATATTTTCAGTTGGCTTGCATTGCTTGTTTGATGGAAAGGAACTAACCACTGTTCCCTCTCAGTGAGAGCTCATTAAACTCCTGATTGGTTGTAGTGTCTTTGAGATCCTAATCACAGCATTATAACCAAATGTAACACTTTTGAACCAGTGCCTGGTCTGAGCTGTAAATTCTGTATGGACACTTTTTCTTATCTCTGTCTTGTAACATTTCAGTGTGATGGTGAAGGACGTGATTTTCTCAAGGAAGAAAATCTGGAGCAACATGGTGCAGAAGATGGCAGAGACCTGCAGAGAATCAATGGTAATTTCCTATATTTCTCTGTATACTGTATATATATTTATCTAGCTACCTATCATGGCTGCATTTTGAATACATCTTTTGCTAAATTTGGCCTGTTATTTCGATTCTTTTTTTAATGAAGTGCCACCCCTTTGTATAACACTGTAAACTACAGACATTCCTGAAAAAAATGAGTGATTGCACAGCTTAAGCAGTTCCCCAGTACTGCAGTATTGCTAGTATTGTTCATGCACCCAGGGTGTTACTAAGTGGTTGCTGTAGCGTTTTGTGTTTGTTGCTAGGGTGTGGCTAGGCAGTTGCTATGTTATCCCAAGTAGTTGCTAAGGTTTTGCTTGGTGGTTGCTGTGGTATCTTAGGTGGCTGCTAGGGTGTTGTTATGTGATTGCTGTGGTACACAAGGTGGTTACTAGGGTGCTGTTAGATGGTTGCTAACTCCCTGTTATATAGCTTGTCCACCCATGACTGTATAGTCAAACACAACAACAACAAATTAAATTAAATTTCCAGATGACACCGCTGTGATTGGACTCATAAGCCATAATGGTGAGTCTGCCTACAGGAGGTGTTTGGTGTCATAGCAATAATCTAGCCCTGAATGTCACCAAAACCGATGAGCTTGTAGACTTAAGGAAATGCAGAAAGATCATACTAGGCCTGGGTGATAGGACGACGTAATCGGATATTGTCGATGATAAGTAACCTGATGGCGATGTGTAAAAGGCAATAATCGCTGTTTTGGTAAAGAACTGAGAGAGAATTAGAGAGGACCAATTAACCATTAAACAACTTGAAAAAAATAAGTTGGTAAACTGGGGTTCACGTTTAAGAAGTGTGCAGGCTCGTGGACCAGTAGTCAGTTTCTGAGAGAGAAGGAGAAAAAGAGTCACGCAGAGAGTGAGAGCTTTTTTTAAAAAAAAAACTGCCTGTGTTATTTCTCTCTGCTACGCACTGTAATGCTAGCTTCACTGCATGGATTCCCCTTAATTTAATTTATGTGAATGGAATTGAAAGTGAATGCCAGTGTGCTTTTGAGCTTCAGCTTGCTTCAAAGTGACTCGCTGCAGTAAAAAAAAAAAAGAGCTAAAATGACTGGATGTTAGCGTGGAGCATCTAAGTGAACTGTAACCTGGAGAGAAAGTTCCTCCAATCTTCATTCACGACTGGTGTTCTCAGAAAGAGGTAATGAATAAGATTAAATATAACATACAAGTAAGGTATTATTCACTTTTACTCTTAAAACTTTGGGTAATAATGGGGCCTTTAAAAGCTCCGGTAGAGTAAACTCCCCACTTCCTCTGCTGTGTGTAATTTGCGAGTAAAATATGCAGTATTTTCTGTACAGATTCAGTAATCGCGATTTAATTATTTATAGATATTGCCTAGATCATACTCCCCTTCAGCCTCAATGGCTTGCATGTTAAAATTTTTAAAAGTTCCAGATTCCTGGTTGTGCTGCTCTCAGACGCACTCTGTTGGTCCCTGAGCACCAGCAGCGTCCTCAGAAAAGGCTTTTCTTCCTGAGGAGAAGAGCTTCTGGGTGAACACATCTGTTATGGTCAACCAGCTGCACCATAGAGTGTTCTGACTGGTTGCATCACAGTAACATGACTGCCCTGGATCTCAGAATTCCTAGTAGATAATTGCTAAGATGTTACTGTCTAGTTGCTATGGTATTTTTGGTTGTTACTAGGCTGTTGCTGTGTGGTTGATATGGTGCTCAAGGTGGTTGCTAGGCTGTTGTTAGGTGGTTCCTGTGGTATCTCTGGTGGTTGCTAGCATATTGCCAAGTGGTTGCTAGGGTGATGTTAGGTGTTTGCTATGGTATCTCTGACAGTTACTAGGATGCGGCTACATGGTTGCTATGGAATCCCTTATGGTTGCTAGGGTGTTGCTAGGTGGTTGCTGTTGTATCCCAGGTTGTTGCTAGAGTGTTATGGTTGCTATAAGATTTCAGTTCGTTCCTAAGGTGCTGCTAGGTGGTTGCCGTGGAATCTTTTTCAATATGCAATCACCAGTGTTATAAATCGGATAACAATAGTGTTACGCATTGCAAAGCAAAAGGAAGGTGTTGCTGTATGGTTGCTTTGGTGTAAAATGGTTGATATCCTATGTCTGGTAGAAGTTTCTTAGTGGCTTACTATGGTATTCCAGGATTGCTAGGGGGTTGCTTTGGTGTTCCATGAAGTTACTTAGGGTATTGTTAGGTGGTTGCTATGGTTGTCTAGGTGGTTGCTATAGTATATGAAGTGATTTGAGGTCCACTGTTGCTAAGTGGTTATCATGACATATGTCATGGTTGCTAAGGGGTCACCAGGTGGCTGCAGTATTGGGCTGGTTGCAAGGGTATTGCTTGGTCGTTACTATGATATCCCAGGTATAATTTTTGCCGTTATATTAGAATTCCACAAATGAGTGCAGATGCATGGCTGTGTCATGGATGTTTCAGTCACATTTCAAAAAAAGTAGTCCACTTTGTTTTCAAGGCAGTGCACATAAAGGAACGGCTATTTGTGGTTACACTTAGCCTAACATGAAAACAAAATAAATTGTCACTCTTCTGTTTCCTCTGAGAGGCTGCTTAACTCAGTCAGCTGCATCAAACAATGCTATGGTCTGGGCTTTGTGCACGTGTCTGACAGTCAGAGGGATGAGTGTATGGAATTCACATATGAGACAAATGAGTTGAGAAGATGGACAAAGCTGAAATTGGCTTGGTGATTTCTGTGGTAAGGTGTTGCTGTGTGGTTGTTGTGACATTGTCAGTGATTGCTATGGTAGTGTTAAGTGGGTACTACAGTATCTGTCATCTTTTAACCATTCTGCCTTTCATTCCTATTGGAAAAGTCAGACTTTGAATGGTTGCTATGTGTAAACCATATGTCTGATGAAAAAGCTCTTAAAAACACCACATCTCATGATCAAGGAAAATAAAAAAAAGAATTTCCTAAAGAAAACACAGAGTGATTTGCATAAGCTGCACATTCCCAGGTGTTGCTATATGATTGCTGTGGGATTGGAGGTGGTTACTAGGGTGTTGTTAGGTGGTTGTTATAGTATTGCAGGTGAGTGCTAAGAAGTTGATAAGCAGTTCATATATTATCCCAGGTGGTTGCTATGGTGTTGCTGACTTAATGGTATCTCTGGGGTGTTAGAAATTCGGCAAGAAGAGTCAGGAGACTGGAGCTTCGCCGTTGACTGGAGTTTATTTCCACATACAGAGTATGGGTACAGCATGGTCGATCAACAGTCAATCAGCAGGATCAGGAGTCTAGTCTTATTCACGTGCATGCAGACAATCATGCACGGGCACAGCTTGGTCATCAGTGTGTCACCAGTCTGGTCTGGTCACCAGTCTAGTCTAGTCCAGTCTGCAGTCCAGTCTGCTGAATACATGGTCTGACATAGTTTAAGTAGAGATACTGGGGGTCGGGGGAGGAAGCACAGAGGGAGGGTAAGTAGGTGACAATCAAAAGGTTAGGGAAGAAGGGGAAGGGGGTCTGGGGTCAGGGGAGACCCCAGGGATAAGGTGAGGTTGTTCTCATCTCAGGGGGAACAATACAGATAAAACACGACTGTAAGACAATACAGCTGACACAACAAAAAGACAACATAGGTGAGAGCATAGAAGAAAGCAAATGTGAAAAGACCTATACTTTCTCTCAATTCCCCTTTGATTCTCCCTAATGGAGAGTCATAAAACTGTATTATTACTACAAGTACAAACATACATACAATAAGGAGTCGAAGGCAGAAACAAACAAAGTGGCTATAACTGTACAGAATAGGACAATATCTCTATAACATTATGCCAAAAAGTGTCCAAAGTGTTAATGCAGCCAATGGTTAGAGCTGTTTAATGCAACTACTTTGTAATGGAAATATTCTTGAAGAATATTGGAGATGTCTGTAGGATCTTGAAACTGGAACAGTTTGCTTCAACATCATTATATTGCATTGCAAGTTGAATTCCACGACAGTAGTTGCTTGGGCAGATCCTGGAAGTCCACTTTCAACAGCAGGCACTCAGTTCTTTGTAGCTTAGGTGTGCAGTGTCAAGACGTTTGTGCCATGCTGGGCAGGAACACTGGCTTCAGTTTATCTGTAACACACAAAAATAAATATTTGCGCAGTAAACTGTTCATCAATGTTGGGAAGTTATTCATTCAGAATTAGGTTATGTGCTGTCCCCACTATTTGTCCCTCAGAGGGGGCTGGTATAGTTCCACACAGTGTGTTGAAATCTTCACCTACAGGAGTGGCCCCCAATGGCCTAAAAGCCATGGTTCTTTCCTGAGGCTCTGTGCTTCATCCACCCCCTCTCCAGCTGTCCCTGTATTCATTTCTGGGGTGTAGACACAACCTTGCAATGGGAAACATGTATCTGTGTTTTCTTCACATTTAATGATTGCATCAGCTATCAGCAGAGCTTCTCATCTAGATTGTAAAGACATGACTCATTGGCCTGAAACTATCATACAGATACCTTCAGCACTGACTTAATAGCACTTTTTGGAAAAAAAATTTTGCTCTAATTTTGCTTCTCAAAATTAGAATTCCACCATGAAAAACTAATTAACATTTTTATACCCCTGTGTGACCCAAAGGATATGTTTGTGTCACGAGGCAAAGAAAGCAATGCTTCAAATGCAAGTTTTCTCCCCTTTGGTTGAAACACCATCTGGAGCAACTTTTGCATCTGGATTCAGCCATGTCCAGTTCCCAGTCTGGACTGTAGCTGAGTTACCAGCAGATCGTATAGTGGTTTTTAAAATGGTAGCATAAGGATTGATTCAAGGCCTACTGTAGTTACATAGACCTAAAAAAACAAGGCCCAAAGTTGTTGTGGGCAACAAAATTTTATTAATGTGAGGGCTTCTATCAGGCAAAATTTAACCGTTTAGTAGTCAATTTCCCTAATTACTGTACCAGCACAACAATTCAACTATTTTGCCCTGATATCCACTGCTTACAAACAAAAAATCAAAAAGTGCTTTTACATC